CCAAAACCTGCGGTTTGCCCCTCCTGTTTAATTTTGAGCCACACCCATATATATATATATATATAGATCTCCTTCAGGAACCAAAGCAAAGGGCTAAGGCTTTCGATGAGAAAGCCTGCGCAGCTTTAGGGCAGGGTTCTGTCTTTACTCGAGGCAGACTTAGAAGCGGTGGCTGAGTTCCCCAGATCCCTTTGGGATGAAATGTACCTGGCAGCCAAAAGATGGAACTCTGCTCTTTGATGTCTTCCATTTGCTTAGCATGATGAATTTTGCTCCCTGTTGGGTTTAAAAGACACCCGCCACAACTGAATTTATGTTTTGGTCGGGGATTTAAGCAAATGGACGAGTTCTGATTGTGCTGTGACTAGGATTGCTGGATTTCCTCTTCAAACACCAGGTTTTGAGGTCCAGACGTCGACTTAGCCGCGTTTTGTTGGGTCCAAAGTCAGAAAAGCAGTGGCACTCGCTTCGCCTCGGATCTGCAGCTGAGGCAGCTGAGCAAGATTGCCGACCAGGACGCGGTGTCTTTCACTGGAAACTCACTTTGGAGGGGACTCGAAATACAAAGGTGCCGAACATGGGTGGTTTCCTTAGGTTTCTTTCCAAAATGGTTGGTAGTTAGATAAATCTGATGCCCACCGACGAGTCCTCCAATTAGAATTCATACCTCTATGAGGAACTGACGATGCAATTGGCATCCTCCCCACATTGCACTCACCAGAACGTCCCCTAAGAAGGACCTGTTTTTCATGGCCCTTCAGTCAGGTTCCATTCAAGTGGGAAGATTATTTTCTGCGGACCCTAAATATCCAAAAAGGGTAAAACAGGGGTCATTGTGCGTCCTTTTCTTGGGAGAGCAGAATTCTTGAGCCTCTTTTCGCGCATTTCAGCGGACTCTCTTGAAACCTCCGAAACCAATTCGAATCGCCGAAACTCTAGGAGTCGGACCGTGGGAAGACTTGGTGGTCTGTACTTCCCCAGAATTAGCTCCCCTTTTTGCTTTTTTGCTTTGTTGGGATCCCTTTGTTTTCCACTACCCAGGCAAAAAAGATCCCTGGAAATCCACGACTGTTTTTTAAACGTCCTTTGCACCTCGCCTGTTTTTTGCAGCTAAAGCCTGTTTTTTGCGCCTGCAATGAGCCATGGCGTGGTATTTGATGGATTATTAATGCTGTTGCCACGTTTAGAATCTACAAAGCCTGTTCCACCCCAACATGTCTTTGACACAACAATTTTGGTGTGAACATAGCGGTCCGTGATGTACGCAAAAGTAGCGTGAAATCACCGTGAAAATACCGTGAAATTGGCGTGAAAGCCTGTTTTCCAGCGTGAAAGCACGTTTTCTGCCGTGAATTTTGACACCAGTGAATCTATGTGTTTCAGCCTGTCCTTTGGTAATCCCTCTGCTTGTTTTGAGGGAACGGAGGTCAAGTCTTTGCACACTTTGGTCCTGAGCACGTGCGGCCCCCGAATTGTTCAATGATATCAGCTGAGCTTGGACAAAACTGCTCCTGGCAAAAAACCGCCTTTCACAGAAAACATGCAAAATAAACCGCCTTTGGAACCCCAGGGAGATCATTTTTTGCTGGGGTCGTAATTCCAGCCTAGTGTAAAGGAGTCCTTCTGCTTCAAGCATTACCCCACAAGGAGATCCCTCAGGGTCGTGCAAGCGCAGTTGCTAGGTCAAACATTGAGCCGTTACATGCATTCAGGGACAGCCACCCGAGTGAATGCGGCCAACCATGGCCGACTTGCAGAAGATACACGAACGCACCTATAAGGACTGCTGGGATGTTTCGTAAAATCATGGACCCCGGGAGCCTCTTCGGGCTGGCGTGGAATCCCAACAAGGACTCCGTGGCATGTCCGGCTTCCCGGCGGTTTCGCGCATCGCAGGATGGTGGGTCGCCCAAGAAGGCGGGCTGCGGGCTGGAGATGGCGGCCGTGTTCCGATTTCTGGGCTTCGCCCGCTTGACTTTGACACCAGGTGCAGCCAGCGAGCTCATCATTTTACTTGGACTCTTCCTTCTTTCAGTTCTTGGGTTTGTGACAACGGGGCAACCTTTGGGGCAAAACGGCAAAAGGGGATCACACCAGGGGGGTGGCTTTTCGGGGCTCGAGGGCCGAAAGTGGCAGTTGTTGTGTTTAGTTTTCCGTGGAAGCCTTCTTCCCTTTTTTAATAAACAAAAACCGACAATTCCCAAAAGGGTTCCGTTCTTCCATCAGTGTCACTGACATGCATGTGGGAACCATTTGTGATACCAAGACAATTCCCGTGAAAGCGACGAATTCACACGGCCCAGTGGCCCAGTTGCCTTCTTCGGTATCGCAGAAAGGTATCTTTTCCACAACTCACCTGAGCTCCTGGACATTTCTTGCTTTTGGGGTTATGAAAATGTCTCTGGCAAAAAAAAACCACAAGTAAAGTTTGGGTACATATTTTCTGGCCAATGCGCGTCATTCGGGTCACTGGTGTCTTGTTTTTCTCGGCTTCGGGGGCTCGGGGCTCGGGACTCGATGCGCGTCAGCAGCTGCAGCAGCTGGAGCGCATCTCACAGCTGTCGGGCCTGGGCTTCATGGCTATGGGGCTCCTCGCTTACGCGGCTCGGAGCGGAGAGCGCAGAGTTTTCTATAGGAAAGTAAAGGGAAGAAAAAGCTCAGGTGGAAGGTCGATTCCCTTACTTCTAGGGGTACCTTCCATTTCCATTCTTTCCAGGGATCCGAATCTTTCCCTCCAGAAACCCGGCAGGGAAAACGGATCAGGTTTTTGAAAAGAACGATGATTGAAAAGAATGGAATTGGAATCAACCCCTGGAAGTTTGGCTGGCCGGATGGCTAGACGAAAACGTCTCCGTGTTTCATCCCGGACTGAAACTAGGTCCCCCAGCTAGGTGCCCTTTGATCACCCCTTTTTTGGTTGGGAGGGTTCCTACTAGTTAAAGTAGACTGCAGAAAATGGGTTCCCTTATTATCCCTTATTCAATCCTCTCTACTGGAGGACCTTGGAAAGCTATGGGATCGATAGGCCCAGATAGGCGTGCAGGGTAGTTTGGGGCAGTTCTGGGGCTGTGGGGATACCACTGGGGTGTTTTGGGAGAAAACCGGGTAGACTGAAGCCCAAAGGTGGTTGACTTGGTGAAGGGTTGAAGTCTCCCTGAAAGGTAACAAAGCCTGGCAGGCGGCTCAAGAGGTGGTTCTGTTTTGATTTCACCCCATGGTGCCGCTTTCCATTTTCTGGAGTGGGAGTTTGCTTCCCTTTCAGACAACTATAAAACAAAGGTGGCCTTTCGATTTGGCTTTAACCCAACCTGCAAGAAGCATGCTGTAAATCAGGTTTGATCGCATTGCTAGTAAGTTGTTGGTAGCCTAGGTTATAACCCACTTCTAAGTCCCCCCAAGTGGGGTTATTGTTGTTCGGGGGGTGATCCCAACTGGCGCTAGCCACTTACTAAGTTGGCAAAACTTCCTAGTAGAACATGGGTCACGTCGCCTTCCAGAACTCGGTCTTCTACCCGTCTGCCAGGTGCTATTTTAAGACATGCCCACAGGTTTTGGAAGACCGGAAGAACCTGGCGCGACTTGAAACCGATTCCTCTAGCTCAGGGGTCGCAGGGGTTTGGTAAAAAGGCAAGTGGGCTGCTGGAGAATCGGGGTTTCGTCGCTTGTGGCCTCACGTTGAAGCTGGTGTTGAACACTGGCTTGGCAAACAAGGTGCTTTCAGAAGCGCGCCACTGGCGCATCGAGATCCGGCAAAGCAGCTTGATCCCTCTTCTTCAGCACCAAAGGCTTCCCTTTTGGTAGGCCCCCTGCTTACCATGGTCAAGCAGACAAAGCGCCCCTTCTTCTATCAGGGTCACTGATCAACTGGGTGATGTCGCTCACTTGGCAGCTCACTTGGCAGGTTCAAGGGCCTTCTTTGGGGCACGCTGTGAATATTTAAGTCTGCATTACACTCGTGCCCACAACGACGTACTCACTCCGTGAATGTTTCGCTGCGTCTGTCCTTGGTTTCAGGTCATGGGAAGCTCGATGTTAGGGAACAATGGTTGGGGCTGTCTTGAAAGAAAACCAAGGACAATCAGCCAATGTTCTTTTGGGGCAAACCTTTTGGGGTTGCCCCAGTTAAAAAGCGAACCCGAGATTGGTAGCCCCAGGTTTGAGTATTTTTTTTTGGTGAGGTCTTTGGCAACCGCTCCGCCGAGAGCTACATCCGCACCGTGGCCCAGAACTACAAACCCCCGGACCCTTCGAGGCCGCCCCCCGCGCCCATGGGGCGCGGAGCGCCGCCAGCGCCGTCGGGCCGGGAGGCGGCCGCGTAGGCGGACAAGTCGGTCCGCGCAAAAGGCGCGGGAGGCTGAGCTCGGAGGCCACGGAGCGGCATCCACGGTGTGGGTCAACAATACCCCAAATGGAACCCTGGTACATGGAAATATGGACTAAAACCTGCGGGTCCCCTGATGGTTTAATTTTCACCGATCCCCATGTGTGAGGCATCACCCAGAAACCGTTTCTGCAATTTACATCTTTTTTAGTGTTGTTTGTTCAACCTTGAGGTCAATCGAGGCGTGACAGTCTGGCAGAGAAAACCAGACAATACATTTAGGTCGAGGTCTGCCAGTTGCGCATGTGAGGTTTGGTCATTGTATGCAGTAGTCCATGGCTAGCTCAAGAAAAACATCATGGGGACTTACACAAAGCCATGGGCTCTCCAATTAACCCATGCTCATGAAGGACATGCAGCGGTTCGGCCGTGGCATTCCCCTTACGTGCGTGGAAGCATCCGGAGAGCTCACAGATTGTCTCACTCGGGCCACAAGGTACAGACGATGAGCGAAAACAGAGCGCAGTGGGAAAGAAGTGCGGCTGGGATTTGCGGCACGTGCACACAGACAATATGCATAGGTCTCCCGGCGGGCTTCCCAAGTTCAGCCTCTTTTTTTTTCCGGCAGGCCCGAACCAGCCCGAACCGGATGTGCCAAGATGGCCATCGTTTGTGGCAGGCACCAGCCAGAGCCCCGGCCTCGCACCTTTGGCGCCTTTGGCCAGCGTCGCCGCCGCTGCGGCAGCCACCGCCGCGGCAGGCAGACGCCAGCAGAGGCCAGAGGAGTCGAGTGGACGCAAGGGGCCGGGGATGGCAGAGGATCTCAATATGTGGAACGCAATCCGAGCATGTCGTTTTTGGTTGGGCTTCAACTAATCTACTGCGGCTGTATCTCGAGGAAACATGTTTGTTACTAAGAATCGTACATCAAAATACGTGATCTGTGTCGCTGTAGGTGATCATTGCCTTTATCTTCCTGTTTTATGAGTTTGCAGTTGAATTATTTGTTTGTATCATCACATGATTGATTGATAATTTATTTATTAGTTGTTTATTTAATTATTGTGGTGTTCTCCGTTGTGTGAATTTCTTACATGGGTTGTATGTATCTATTGGTTGCCTTCTCCTAATCCTGCTTTTTTGGAGTTGAAATCATATACTATATGCCTGACAATGTTGCTACGCTAATTCCCCTATACTGGTTTCTGGTGGTGTTCCTAGTCATTCGCCACATCTGGAAACTTCTTGGTGTGATGTGTAGGGGAGTATGGACCCACACCCCAACCCTTCTTGTGGCCAGCAAAAAGCAGGTTTTGGAGCAGGGTGCCCTTCCCTTTTTCCAGTGGCTCAAGCAAATTAAGAGCCCGGAAAAAAAAAAAAAAAAAAAAAGAAAAAAAAAAAAGAAAAAAAAACGCAGGTCCAGGGTTCCATTTTGGAGCAACATGAAAGTGGTGAAGGGTTTGCGGGTCATCTTCTTTATTTTTTTTCTGGGTGGTGTTGAAGAAAAACCAACCGGAACGCCACCATTTTGGGAGTCCGATCCCGAAAAGGGACACGCCCACACCCACCCTCACTCGAGTCACGTCCCCAGCCCTCGCTGCCACCCGGGTCAGGCAGCGCGTGGCTTGCCGCGCGGAGCGGCAGTCGGCAGCGGCCAGGCGTGGATGTTGGGCCAAAGGGTGAGGGTCCATCGGAGATTCAAGGTACCGAAGGTCCATCGGAGGGTCCATCAGATGTTGGGTCAAAGGGTCCATTGGTGAGTTGGACAATCCAGACGTACTCTACAGATTAACATGGACTCCAACAAAACACCGTATCCAGGCGTACTCTACACTAGGTCCTCCAGCTAGGTGCCCTTCTCTCCCCTGTTTTGGGGGAGAGTTCCCCTACTAAAATAGACTACAGAAAAAATGGTACCCGTATTCTAGCCTCTCTACTGGAGGACCTAGTACAGATTAACAAGGACTCCAACAAAACACCGTTTGTAGAGGAATCTCCTTCGTGGACAACCCTTTTTGTGGGTTCCATGTTGATTTGTAGGAGAGTATGCAGAACTATCATGGGGAATGTTTCAGAAAGCCTGGATGGGACAACTTTCTTCTCCCATGGGGAATGTTTCTTTCACCGCCAGCTCATGGAAAACGATGCTTGAAAAGAATGCCCAGCCTCGGAGACTGGACATTCTGGGTTCCCCAAGGCCCGTGTATTGGCAATCAAACAACCCTTGTAAAGGAACACCCACCCCTTGCCTTGCCTGGAACCTTGGGCTCAGTCCCTCAGGGTTTGAGACCATTTGTTTCAGGAGACTTGTTCAAGTTGTTCAATGGGCTGGAAGCAAAAGTGGCATGACTGGGGTTGGCTACCATGGTTCTAACCGTTGTGTGGGTCAAAATGAAACCACCACAAATCCGCAGATGTTGGTCCATGTTGTTCACTTGCCAGGGATCCATTTGGGCGCCTAGTTTTGATTTATAGCAACCTAAGTTGGTTGAACATCTCCAAGATCAGAAGGGGCTTCGCAGGAAGGCGGTGACGGAGAAGCTGGTCACCAGCATCGACCCCTCCGCCGGGCCTGAGGGCACGCCTGGGGCCCTGATCGAGACCGGAAGCAAGAAAATGGGAACCGGTCCAAGCGCCCAAGACCCAAAGCTGTGGGTTGTCAAAATCTGTGTTTCTGTTTTTGTTGAGGGTACCCCTTGTTGGCGGGTGGTACCCCTTGTTGGCGGGTCGCCCAAAAAGAAGCACAATTTCAAATTGGGTGACCGCCAGAAATGATGTCGGTTTTCCTTTTGGTTCCCTAAAGGTGAAAAGGGTAAACCGAAGCGGAACTGAATCGGCAAATTTTCCGCACGTGGCTAGTGGTTGGAAGGGTGCCGTTCCGGAGCCAGGGCTATCTAGATTTGCCTTTAAAGAGGGGAGCTACCAGGAGTTTGATGGGGGGCATGGTAGGTGGTACCTGGTTGAATTCGGATTAAACAAAAGCTGAAAGAACGCCTCAGTTCCTGCTGGGCTTTTCCTCACCTGGGTTTCTGGACTTGATATATTTTTTGGGAAGGCCACTTTGATAAACAAGTTTAGCCACTTGTGCTGGCCAATCCGCTCGTGAAACAGACCCTTTGCAACCATCTTGTGGAACTCAACTTGATTGCTAGTGGGTTGGATCTTTAGACTTCAACTGTTTTTGGAATCACAAACAGTTTGACTTTTTGCAGAAGGGTCAACAGCAACCAAGTCAACGCGAGTTTTATTTTTGGGGGGGGACTTTTGGTGAATTTAGCGTCCATGCCACAACTCAGCAGCACCATTTTAAGTGCTTGCACCACCTGGTGTCATTCTTTGGATGGACGAAAGTCATTTCGCACCTCTTTGAAACCATGTTTGAAATCATTCGGGTTGGCATTTCAGGGGAATTGTCATTCCAGAGTTTTTTAGGTGGTGCAGGATTTTGTCCATCCGCAGTAGGAGTTTTTGTAAGTCCTGTAGGTCTCAACCCAGTGGTAGGTTAAAGGGGAAACAACCATTTCCAGTTGTTGACTTTGATAACCCGCTGGAAACAGCCAACAACCCTAAGCAACAGAAACTGGTTTTCCACAACAGACACTGGACAGCCAGGATTAGTTGACACAACCACACCCTGGTTCCCTTTGAACGGAAACCAAAATGAGATTGTTTTGACAATAGCCGTTCAATCATTGTATGACAGCTCAGTTGCTCTTTCAGCGAAGCATCAGATGTTGGTGACTCATGTTTGCACAAACATCACAAAGGGGTCCATTCTGTGTAAACAACCGGGTCCCGGGTCCATTATACTTGCCTGAGTTGGCAAACTTGTATCTTGAAGGGTTTGTCCATTTGAGTCCAGGCCCAGAAAGTTCAAGCGTTTCTGACCACCTGATGAGTTTCTTCTACTCCAGACTGCCTCTTCCGGTGCTTTCGGTTTCTCCGCCCGGACGTCAGGATGGTACTTTCCTCTCTGGTCGCAAGGATGCTTTTTGCGCAATTTCGAGAGTGTCAGTCAATGGACCCAAGTTGTTCCCTTAGGTTGGCTAGGAAGCTCCCGAACCTTTTTTCTTTCCCCCCTCCCCACTAATGTAGCACCGGAGGGAGGGTACCTGAAAGATAAATGTTCGAAACATCAGCCCTGAATCTTCATTCCAGATGGTGGTTTTCCATGGAAGTTCGACCTGTGCGAATCATACCCCCGAACCATACCACGAATCATACCTCCGAACCATACCCCTTCACAACGCCAGGAACTTCTACTACTACTACTACTACTGCTGCTACTACTACTACTACTACTACTACTACTACTACTACTACTACGGCTGCTACTACTGGTAGTACTAATTACTACGACTGCCACCGACTACTACTACTGCTGCTGCTGCTGGTGCTTCTGCTACTGCTGCTACTGCTACTGCGCATGCTACTACTACTGCTTCTGCTACCATCACTGGCTACTACTATTTACTAGTACTACTACTGCTCGCGCTATGACTATTGCTGCTACTACTACCACCACCACTATTACTACTACTACCGCTGCTACTTGTACTTACTACCCCTGACAATCCAATGTATGCAAATAGCGCTTACATTCGCCGACGCCAGCGTTTTTCAACTACATTGCCCCGATAAACCTGAATGTAGCCAATTTTTCGGGACATTCAAACCGACAAGATCCGACAAGGGTTTCGACAAACTTTCCGACAACCATTTCGACAACTCCGTTCGACGACGCCTTCCAACCACTCTTTTACGTCCGTTGGGGCAACAACTTCAAACTCACAGGGCAGAAAAAGACAAAGGCAGCCTCGGAGTGACGCATTGCAAACTAACAAACATGCAAATTCCTGGCCACGAACCTATAGGGCACAGAAATGAGTCTAGCCAACCCCGGCTATCATTGCCGGCAAATGTTGCTTACCTGTCAGCGCGCGATTGACTTGCATAGTGTGCAGATCTCGCTGAGGACTTTCGACTGGAACGCTTACCTGGTTGAAGGGCTGGCTTGCAGCACGTGTTCGATAGTTCAAGCTCTTTAGTCACAACATTAAATTTCCAGCGCAGGGTGACACCAAGGCACCGCGGGTTGGCCAAAACCTATCAAAAAGCCAAAGTATTACGCATAAGAGCTACGCTTGGAGGAAACAACTCCTTGCAAAATACTTCGCAACAGGAGATCCGTCAATCCAACAAAGTCGACACACACGCTGCACTGATGGGGGTTGCTACCCCGAACAGAAGACTTCAGCAAATGACGCTGCATCGTTGCTGTCTACACGGGCTCGAATTCGACACCGTACCTGCGTATATCTTAAATGCGCTATTTGTTAGTTGCGACCTTTGCTGTCCCGAGGCACCTGCCGGAACCATTTAATTAAGTACGCTTACATTTAATTAAGTACGCTTACAGAGAGGCGATGGATCGTCATGACAAGTTGCTCGCGAACCAAACATCGCCGACGTATAGGGTTGATTTTCCATAACACACCTCCAACCACGAACTTTGTTTTAGAGCAATGCCACGCTGCCACAACCCCGTCCAGAGCGCAAGCCCAACTTAAAGCGCCCTTGTTGTGTTGAAGTTTGAAGCAGGTGTTTCATCATCTGTTTCGACGAAACTCCCTTTGGGGCCGCGTTGGCGGTTCCCGGCGTAATTGGGGTGCTCGAAATTACACTGGTTTAGGCTCTAGCGAAGCCTCTACGAACTGTCGCAGACCTTTCTCCCATCGATGAGTCGCAATTCAACAACTCGCAGCTTCAAAGAAGGGTCAGCTTGCTGTGTACGTATATCAAACAGGAATGTCAAAATGTGCTGGGAAGGGCTCAAGTGGCCTTGAGGAAAATGATTGAGGCTGGACTGGACGGATATGACGCTCCATATGTTGCTTTGCAAGAGCTCGATTGATCGATGAAGCCCAACTATACGTCTTCAGAGCAAATCGCAGAGTGTGATAGTCGGAATGCCCCCAGAATGTGTTTTTTTTGTAGTTGTCTATGTGCGTTGCCCGGCCAACATGTGGTGCCAACTCTTTTTCTTGTGGTCTCCTTGCTAAGTATGTCCCTGCCAGTTTATCTCCGAACACTTTAACCTCTTTGGTTTGCCCTCATGGTCTATAGGTTAGCATTAGCGCTAGGGTGGTACTCTATTGGTCCGACAAACGCGTCTCTTTTTGGGCCAGCCTGCCAAGTCACACGCCAAATCCCTGAAAATCACATATGTCCTTCCAGCATAAGCTAAAAACGCAAAACCGAAGAGAAATCAACATCACAGTTTTCTGGTGAACGTTGGCAGCAGTACACGCACTATCCGGCAATAAATCACGCCAAATCACGCGAAATCACGTTTTTCCGTCAACGTAAGCAAAAATATGACTACGTTCCGACAACAAATCACGCCAAATCACGCGGAATCACTCCCAGAGTTGCTGGGCCATTTGCTGCAGCCAGTGATGCGCAAGCTGTTTGGGGCTTGTGGAAAATGTGGCGCGGGCACAGTTTAGCCAGGACCCGCCGTTTTCAGGTGTGAGAGAATTTGAGGAATACTTTGCTGAGCTGCAGTCGGAATTCCCTAATGCACGTGATGGGACTTTGTCGAAGCGGAAGTTTGGGCAGCCTGCTTATGAAAGGGAGTAGAAACTTGAGTGGCCAGTTTGGAGCTCTGAAAAAGACTGATGATGGTATTGTATGGTAAAACTTGAACCCTTGCTTAATTAGGAGTTAGGAAATCTACCTGGCAAATCCGGGTGCACTTAAAAATCAGTAGCGACAAGCAATCGCATGCCAAGCCCGGTCGGAGAACGAATCTTGCGTGGCACATATTGGCTACAGTGACTGTTCGTCGTGGCATGTATATCCTCCAACGTGGGCGGGTTTAGAGATAATGGTTCGAACATTTTGAATCTTGGGAAAATGGCAATGACCTGAAACGAGGCACACAAACACGTTGTGTCATTACACAGTACATCGAGACAAAAACAAATCTCAATTTGTATGCATTGTGCACAAATATGTTGTTGCTTCATCTGCCTGACCAATTTGAGCCGTGTTTTTGCAAATTACTTTTTAACACCCTTTTCGCATAAGAAGCCTTCTTCCTGGAGAAATGCAGGTTTGAGTGCTGGATAGATGCAGGAGCCTGAGTGGCCAATATTTTGCTTTGGACTCCTCATCTCGCAGTCAGTAAGGAGATGCCTACGCGCAACCAAAATCATGCCCAAACTCAGCTGTCGCAATCCCAAGTTTGAAGTAGTTTTGAAAATTGCGCCCCGCTGGTAGCTGTTGGGTAAAATAAGGGATTTTACCATGCTTCCTGATAGAGGACAAGCAAAACGGGGGTATAGGTAAAATTACTACATCAAGTATTTTACATCCTTCCGCACAAGTATCAGGATCGTAGCAAGATGACCGAGATAATAACTGTTTGCGCTTATGATACATTTTCCTCCTTTCTGGTTGGGAGTGAGGGCTTCTGGTAACAAGTCCCGACTTTTAGCGGCAAACGCCGTCGTGCCAATGATTTGCATTGCGATGTTGACAATTGGAGTATTTCGGAGTGGATGTCAATAAGTGTGCAGAAAGTGGTGCGTATCGTAATACAAGCGTATAACTCGTTCGTATTTTGCATGGTCTCCTCGTCTGTGCACATACACGAAGTCTGCATTTCACCAGCGCGAATTGCAAGCGCAGAGTATGCTGGCAGTATCCATGCTCGTTCAAAAATAATGGGCTCTGTGCAAGTCACCGGTTGCTACTGCAGGTAACACGCAACCAAAACCATGTTTGATGTTTTACCCATTGTTCCCCAAACATCCATACTTTGAAGTGGTTATGTCAACACTGCGACGAATACTGCTCAAACGAAATAGACTTGTGTAGCAAAGGGGGCTCTGTGCGGTATGTTTGCGGCTAAGTGTGCAGGCTGGTAAGAAAGATTATTTGACCTCGTGCGATGGTGATTGGGACTGACAAACGTGGTCACTTCTGGACGGGATTTTGACTGTCCGACGGGGGCGTTTCCAAACGATGCCAATCTTGGGTTATATTTTGACTGTCCGACGGGAGCTCCGACAAATTCCGACAATGTCGTCATTTTTTGGCTACGTACCAATGTACCCAAAAAATGGCTACATTTCAATGTATGCCATATTTGCCTACATGGATTCTCTGGGTACTACATACAGTACTGCTTACTACTACGTACTACTATTTACTACTACGTACGCCTACTTACTACTTCTACTACTACTACTACTCCTCATACCACTACTACTACCTACTACCTACTACCTACTACCTACTACCTACTACTGCTACTACTGCTACTACTGCTACTACTACTACCACCACGAATCATACCCGAATCATTCGTCGAACCATACCTTTTGTTTGCGCGCGTGGCTCCATGACCACTCGGGCGGAACTCGCCAACGGCAGATCGTCAGCGCAGCTGCTGTTGCAACAAACGTTTCAAACTCCTGCGAACCATACCCCGGATCATACCCGCGAATCATACCTTGAACCATACCCGCAAATCATACCCTCCATCCAAACTTCTCGGATCGAGCACCTCTTTTCTTCACACACCCTTATAATATGTGTTTTCTTTTTTGTTATTATTATTCTTATAATTATTGTCATTACTATTGTTATTGTTATTATTATTTTATTATTATTATTATTATTATTATTATTATTATTATTATTATTATTAATAATTATCACTATCATTAGTATTATCACCGTTATTATTATCATCATTGTTATTGATTATTTTTGTTATTATTAACATCATTATTATCATCATCATTTTTTTAGGAACCCCAATTGAAGACTCACTGAGGTACCAGGTTGGCATCGACTTCAAGAACTGGCTGCAGTCCGCGAAAGAGGAGCTGAAGGCCTCGCACATCGGGCTCTTTATTCCGTCGGAAAACAGTTTCCGACCGGGCGGAGCTTCCGGCCTCGTTGGGGTTTTCCTGGGCATCATTCCTCTGGCGGGTCCCCCCTGGCAAGCGCGTGGCCAAGCATTGAGCATTCCAGGGTCTCGTGGGTGGTGCAGGATTTCGTCCATCCACAGTATTGGAGAATCTCGGGGATGACGCGGGTCTGGGGATATGAATATTGACTCTCTGGCTTATGTGGCAAAGGGGTCCTCTTTTTTACTGCGAGAGCAATCAGCCATTTTAGAGCATCCGATTTCTGGGCCCAGCCATACCAAGTTGGATGCGATGTGGGATGTTTGGTGAAAACGGGCACTTATTTTGTCAGGGAAACCAACATAAACCTGCCATTCAGTGAAGAGATCCCAAGAGTGGCTGGTGAAGGGGCACCCCCACATTGTAAGAGAACAAGGCGCAACTCCCATAAAGTATCAAAGGCACTTTGAACCGGGTGAAACGGGAAGGTGCCTATTGATTAGCCAAGTGCGTACAAGGGGGAATGAGCTGCAGCCTTTTGTTTGTAAGAGAATCCCAACCCACCAACACGGCCTTATATAAATTTGTACAACCCCGTCCGTAGCCGCTATGGGGCAGGCGAAAAAGCCGCAAGTGGGCGCACTTGTTTGGCTTTGTTGCTGGTTTTCGCAGACGATTTTGGCAGCAAACGACAGTTTGGAGTTTTGGCGTCCAATCCTTCCCTTGTTTATTCCGAACCCTATTGAATATTGTTCAAGAGGACTATCTGGTTGATTGCACCAACAACTTGCGGAGAAAGCAATCAGGCGCACAAACCAAAGCACCACACCAGAAACCACCACAACACAGTTTTTGGGGTAACGCGTTTCGGCCGTGTTTTTTTTTCCAGCAAATTCGGAAGCCGCCCCCATCTCGGGATTATGTTGACACAAACCCAATGAAAACCTCTCTCGAAGACCTCGTGCGAGGTGGATAACCTGAAGGTGGAGGGGAAGGTTCCGGCGTGGCTCCGGGGGCATCTCGTCCGGGTCCCACGGGAGTGGATCGGGTTTCGTAGCCGCGACCTGTCGGGGTGCTATGGGGAAACTTTCAGGAGGGTTCCGGAAGATTCCAGGTTCCAGGGCTGTTGGGCTCCACACAGCCCCGCTCATGATGGAAGGATTCAGTTCTCAACGGAAAGCACAAAGGAAAGCAACAGAGGGTCGTTGTGTTTTTGAAAGAGCCCCTATTTAGCACCCGGATTTGTGAACACGATGTGGGTGCTTTACCTGCAGCTGTTGCCATCAAGAAATAATATTTTACCTTTGCCCGTTTTTCAACGATTGGGGAAGTGGAGGGGCTTTTTCAAGAGGATGGTAGTCTTTCAACACGCTTGTGTGCACTGTCACGGTAGTTTGACAGAGGGCAAGTGTCGTTTACTTCCACAAGCAGGGAAGATAGATTTCAATTGCAAGCTAAGAGCCGCATGACAAGGAACACCGCGTCTTCTGTCCATTTTTCGGTATTTTTGCGTTCACCTCTCGTTCGAACCCTCGTGCGCCTCGGCAAACGTCAGCAAGGTTTGGGAGGTTCTTGTGGGGTATCATGTCAACAATTTGCCCAAAACATCTATGTACCATGGAAAACAGGCTGTTCAAGAAGTACACCAAACAAGTGTATATATAGATATCATGTACGTTGCCCAGAAATCGCTTGTTTGTTTCGTTCTGTTGCTTATATCTCGGTTGCTTTTGACTTGCCTGTCCGAGCCCGGCACCAGACTCAGACGGCCTTGGATCGCGTGCGCTCAGACGCGCTTCCGCAGCTTGCAAGTGCTGGGAGCATGGCCATGGAACCTCACGTGAAGTGCATCCGTTTAGCCCTCTTGCGTCGCAAGCAAAAACCTGGCCAGCAAGACTTGCCAGTTGGGACTTTGGTTTGGGATTCTCCATGCCTCCGCTTCAAACATCACCGCACCCGACAGAAACCCAGTGAACAAATATAGAACAAAAGGGCCAGGAAGTGATGCAAGCCAGAGGCGACCGAGCCAACCAAGCCACACACACACACACAAAGCTGTTGCCGGCAACCCAAGACGTTGCGCCCTGGCAAAACCCCGGGGTTTGGCGCAGATGGAGAGCGAGGACAGTGAGGCAGGGTGGGGTTTTGTAGCCGAATACTTGGGCCAAGTTGGGCGAGGAATGCAGGACCACGTCTACCGTCTACTGCACTACGTACCAGGCATTTGCCCCTCTCCCCGATGTTTTGCGGGGAAATTAATAAGTTGTGCTGTTTCCTTGTCACCATTGTCGCGCCTAATGGATCCAGGGCAAGGCTTTCGCACCTCACAAGCGAATCGCGCGAAGGTTTCAGGCCTTGTGGCCAAGGCTGGAGTCACCACATTGTCTGTCTTTAGGTGGCTGCGGTTGTCAAAACCAATGGGATCCCATTTTGGGGTAGGTGGATTCACCACCCATTTTAGAACCTATTTTAGTGGGGATTGCGATGTTCACTGGGGGTACGGGCTTTTGACCCATGGCCAGGTGACTTTAAGCATCACGTTTTGGTTGCCATGTTCAAGTTTGGTTGAAGGAGAGGGTGTTCCAAAACAGGGATATTCAGGGATCATGGTTTGTGTTTAAAGAAAAGCCAACAGGTAACAGCGACAAACTCAAATGGCTCGAATCTTTTTCATGGGACCGTTGGTGGACGTACATCTCCATGGACATGATGTCCAAAGGGTCGTCCCCAGTTCAAATCCAATACAATGTACCCCCTTTCCAATATGGCAGCGACGAGGTTCGGAAGAAAAAAACCTCTGAAAGGGACCCCGGGGACCCATCTCCAGGGTCCTGCCTTAGGTTTCACACCGATTTGGGTATGTGTGAAAATAGGGGACCTCAAAAAAAACGAAGAACAACAAAAACAAAGAACTGATAGTTGTCCTGCACGCAAAAGCACAACCCCATGTCGCACTTTGGCCTGCCGCCAGGACAGCGGTAGCGGTAGCCTCCCGCGATGGATTCAGGAGAAGCAGGTGATGATGGAAGAAGAGGACTCTCGATTCCGTGTCGTTTCTTTCGAGTTGGCGCAATAGGTGTCGAAAGCTTCTTGGCTTCCGTTTTCTTCAGAAGGTTTTATATTTCCCCTGTTGGTTTTCAAGGGAATCGATTTCACTACTGGAACATGTTTTTGTTGCTTATATTTTTTTCAAGGGAGCTTAGCCAAATGGACGTGGGGATGTCTTAAAAGGCAAGCCAAGTTTACGAACGCACATTTGTACAGGTTCCCTCCCCAACACCACCTTTACAAGGGAAGAATCATCATAACCAGTGGTTTAAGCATGTTTAAACCAATGGGTGGCCCCACCCTAATGATGACCAGGTTCCTTTCTTGACGCGCTGTAGATATCTGGCAGAGCAAAATGACACCAGGGGGCCAACTGGGCCCCCTTCTTGTGGCAAATCCACTTCGGTAAAAATGTCCCTTGCAGATATGTATGAGCAACAATGTGTATTTCACACATTATCAGAATGACGAAGGATCCAAGTCCTTGTCAAGAGGTGACTCTTGGATGTAGCCTGTTAACCTTTCAAGCAAGTTTTTCCTTTTGCACACTTAAAAATGAGTTTTGCTTCGGGGCGGTCTATAACAAAGCTCCTGATGGACTGAGAGCCATCGGCCGGGCATTCTAAGGAAAAGAACCCTTCCTGGAGCTGGTTGCGCGGGCGGGGGGGGGGGGGGTTCGTGGTGGTTGCGGGGGGCGGGGGGGGGGGGGCTCCTGGGTGGGGGGAGTTTTGTTTCGAGAGGGGGACATACCGACGCTTTCAAGATTACGACTATATAGGTATGAACAAAACTCTAGGGTTCATTCCCCATTCTTTTAAACCATCGTTCTTTTAAAAAACCGGCTGTTTTTTGTGGGGGTCTCATTGTTTTGTGGAAAGAAGGATCCCTGGAAAGAATGGGGAAGTGCCCCCCAGAAAAAGCACCTTCTAACCCTGGGTTTCCTGCAAGTTGAGTCACCCCCAGCCCCTGTCCCGATCTGCCAGGAGCTGCTGAGACCCCGGCGAATGGGCGCGCCAGGCGATTGGAAGGGACCCCAACAGCCACTTGCGATCGGTGCGAGAGACGCAGGGGGAATGAGAAATGGAGTCTTGGTGGCTCCCAGCCATCCGGTCCCTTAGCTTTTTAGATCCTTTAGTGTTTAGTGGTAGTTTCCATTTAAACCACTAAAAGTTAAAGCTTTTAACGGGGGATCTGAGGGCAGCCCAGGAGTCTGACCCCAAGAAAAACCATCCAACTGGAGTTCACCAGGTCCAGGTTTTTGAGATTGTTTGGTTTCAGTCACAGAAAGCCCAGCCTCCCCATTTGAGCCACACATGAGTAGAGTTTTTGTTTGCTAAGTATTCGCTTAGTAATCGGGGGGAACTCCCTTTATGTAGCGTAGGCACCGCATAGGCAGGCTCGCGTAGCTGTGTTTTGCCCTACACAAGCTTGTTGCCTTACAAAAGTCTGCCTAGGCACTCCGCGTAGGCGCAGGTTGCCGCGTAGGCTTGCATAGGCACCCTTCCACGGTTTTGCACACCCGCAGAGAGTTCGTGTTGGCATGGCAGCCAGTGTATTAGGCCAATAATCACACCCAAACAAAAACCTGCTCAATGCGCCCAACACATTCTTGCCCCGTGCCTTTTGCTTCCTGGCTTGGTGTGTGCTTTTGCTTTCTGGCAGCTTGCCTTGGTTTGCTGTCCTTCGCTGTTTCATGTTTTATGTGTCTCGCATTTGGTTCCGTTTCGGTGTTCGGAGTCTTGCTTGGTGCTTTGGTGCGTTAGTGCCTGGGTGCTTTCCCATATTTGCGCCCAGCGATAGCTGGGCGAACTTGCCAACGGGTGCGGGGCATCCTGCAAGTAGCATCGGGGAGGTCCCAGGGCGGTCCGCACCGCGCGCCGTTTTCGGGTGGTGGTTGCCCTGCAGTCCCCGGTCCCTGGCATCCCTCCTGTGGTCCCAAACGCTTCATCCCCAGACCCTTACGAACCTGAGAACCAGCAAGTCTCGCAACCAAAGATACCGCTTGACTCCCCGGTATGAGCCCTTCGTCATATGGCTGCGAGTCAATTTATAAGGTCCGGAACAGGGTCCGGAACCCACATGCGATCCAGACCTCCGTTCCAGACCTCCGTTCCAGACCTTGCCTAGAAACATGTTCCAGACCTTCCGTTCCAGACCTTGTTTATATTTATGTCTAGAGTGTTGATTCAGATGGTCGTTCTTTGTCGGGTGTGCCAAAGACTGAAACGGCGTGGAGCAAGAAAGAAGGAGCAAAGGAGCAAGAAAGAAGGAGAAAGAAATGAAGAAAGGAGTATCGGTGTTCCGGAACTTTGGTTCGGTTCGGTGCGATACGACTCCGCCGCTATCGGTTCGATACGATACGGTAACGGCTCGATACCGTTCTCGGTCGTCACATTGTTGAAACGACCATGTTTACATGCTGCTTGCTAGCATTCCAAAGTGCAAGCCACTCGCGTAACCGTTCCAGACCCCGTTCCAGACCTGTTCCAGACGTGTTCCAGACGCAGCGGAGCAATTTGCCACCAAGTCCACATGCACAATGCGCCATGTAAGTAGCTGCGCTTCTTACGTGGCCCGCCACCCAAGAAGCCTTCAAGGACGACGTGTGCCAGGGCTTTGGAGACAAAGAAGTCTTTGAAGGATGCCCGGCATCGGCTTGCGCATCGGTGGACATCGGCTTATGCCTCCCAGCCTTGCGCATCGGCTGGCGCGGGTGGCGGGCCTGACTACAGCGCATCGGTGTCCCAATGACGCGAGGGTGGCAACGATGGCGGGGGAGGTGAGGCCGCGTGCCCCTGGTCGCTTCATCCATCCATCTACCCATCCATCCATTCATCCGTCCATCTATCCATCTTACACTAAATGAACGTGTGCTTGAGGACTCCACGCATGTCTTCCCAGAGGTCCGGAACAACCGACCTTGCGTAACTGACTCGTTCCAGACGTCCGCGTCACCGCGGAACGTTCCACACCAGAATATTGACCCACACCCATATACTGATTCACAGCCGAGTTGCAAGAGGAGCCTGTGCAGCCGAAGATCGTGAGACCCAAGGACCACTATTGACTATACCACTATGTTGTCACCAGTGACTAGCCCAAAAGTCGCCAGTATTTGTCTCATTTCCGTTGGGGTTAATAAATGCACTAACCCAAGGGGACCCTGACCAGACCAGAATTGATTCTGACGCCAATTAATTCGCACACTCCGGGCTCAGGTTTTGGCTGGTTTTTGCTCGCTTTGGTGGTGGGGTGTCTCCGAATTTCACCCACTCATCACGAAAAACGATCTGTCACTTCTTCGCAGACCAGTTTGTTTGTTTTTTGGTGCTCTTTCAATGACTAGAATCAATGAACTTGTTCGCAGATTCCTCAGGTCGTGTTTTACCTTTTTTTTCTCGTTTTTTTTTCTCCCCGGTTTTCGGGTTTCGAGGTCTCTCCGAATTTCACCCGCCGGTCACCGGCGCCGCTCACTCCTCGGGTTTTCGCCCGCTCGTTTTTCCGGCGGAGTTCGGATCGCAGGCGCCGGGCAGATGCTGGCGGGGGAGAACGTGGAGCCCTTCGCGGTGGCCTTCGGCGGGGGGGGCGTGCGCTCAGGCGACGAGACGACTCGGGGGCCGTCCGCCGAGTCCGAGTCCGAAGGAGAGGTCCTACGTCCTCAGCAGTTGGGTTTTTCTCAGCCATGGTTGGTGGTTGGGAAACATGTGTGAATTACATGTCTGCAAAATTGGGGTTTAGTGACTTAGTGGTTGAAATTCGCACTTAACTGCTAAGAATTGAATTGTTGCTCCCCTTCCAACGTCAACCAAGCTCAGGATATATATATATATATGGGCGCCGGCTTCAGGTCTGCGGGGAAGGGGCGGCGGAAGGGCAGTTTTCAGGAGAAGTCATTTTGCACAACCATATATTTTCCTTGTACATACAAGTGTTGTTTGAGAGTCTTTGGAAGGAAACACCTGGCTTGAAAGGGAATGTATCACCACTGGAAGTTGAGTGTTGCCTGTTGTTTTGGAACCCCCGCAATGGCGTGGTCTTCCTTGTGTTTTCTTTTTTGTTTTGAAAGGCACAGACCAGGAGCACCACCCAAAGACACGCCTAGTTTTTTTTGCGTTGCAGAATATGTGGTCATTATTTCCCCTGTTGGGTTTTACAAGGAATGCTTGTGCTACTGGAGGTGGCGTTTTTTTGGGGCCTGTTAAGACTTTTTGTTGGGCAATCCTCATTTGCAATTGCGCCTTGGTCCAATGGTTGGGAAATCCGCTCGAGTACTGCTTGTGAGTTGGAATATTGTTGTTCTTCCGTGTTGGTGTTAAAGGGCTGAAACATTTGTCACTATTGCCATTTTTTCCAGGGGACCAATTCTAGCAAATGGAAGTAGATGGGGGTGTCACAAACTAGGGCTACACACACACACCAAAATAGTCCAAATTCTGGACGCTTCTGATTGCTATGCCATTCGAGATTTGAGACCTTTCGAATACAGGATCCACACCACTAGAAGATCCAAGCGGCCCCCCGTTTTCCCAATATATCTAGAGGAGCTGGGGGTATCCAAATTTGCTACCAAGGATCCAGTACGGACATGCTATATATTTATATATACACATACACACATATCAACATAATAAGAGACCCCAACTTGCGGCTTTAGCGAGTAAGGCTCATTCGCAGGAAACCAGGGGGAGCAGTAAGCTTCATTTAGAGGAACCCAGGGGGGAGCCTGAGGCCTCATTTAGAGGAAACCACAGGGTGGGAGGGTTGAGTTTTGGCCCCGATGGGTTCAGGCGCCTTTTGCAGTGGCGTGCTGTGGGCTCTGGCGGAGACCAACCGACTCCGGCACGTCACCCATATCTCCTCGGTGTCCGGAGGCCGGCAAAATACATGGCGGCATATGGCGTTTTTCAGGTGTCATGCAGAAGGATCCGTCGCGGCCTCGGTTGAGCCGAAATGCGTCCGCCGACCAGCACCTCAAACAACACCCCCAACAGCATGACAAAACAGCACCTGCACAAGAATGCCAAACTGCATGCCCCCCAGGACCCAGCAGTCAATCTCGCAAAAAACCAGTCTGCATGCCCCCTAGCACCCTACCGTCAATCTTGCAAAAGTGTGCCCGGCCGTCAATCTCTCAAAAACGTGCGCGCAATGTCACCAGACCCTCAAACAACACCCCCCAACAGCACCTGCACCAGAATTCCATAGCCAGGGTGGGGAGGCAAAACAAAAATGCGCAGAAATCTCACTGGGATCCGAAAGAAACGTCAAAAGGAATGAGTGAGAATTGATTCATCGCTGATTGCGGCTGTGTTCTGCTGTTTGTGGATGAGGTATTTAATTCGTATCAGCGATTGGCAAACGCCGCCCAGCAAAGAAGGACTATACAAGCGGGGTGACGGACGGGGTTGGCTGAAACAGATGCAGGGTTTCAACCAACTTAATCACTAATTACTATAATTAAGTGGATTCAGCATTCAAGAGGGTGTTGCGATGTGAATGTAGGCCAGCAGACCATTGTCCCCTTTGAAGCAATACCGGCATGGAGCTTGTTAGCACTTTGGATTGAAACATGGGGTCGGCCACACGCTCCAACACGGCCCTGGCACTTTGTCCAATGGCACGCCAAAAGCTGAAACTGTTTCTTCCGTTTTGGCCGAAACTTCCGGTTGTCACAGGAGCTTTTCCCGTCACCCACTCGAAAATGGCCACTGGGCCCAGCAAAGCCACGCGGAAGGCTTCCTCCTGTTGTGAGCAAAGCTGCGGCCACGCGGAAGCCAACAGTCAATCCTGCGTGAGGAGTCTCCTTTTTAGTCCCCCTTTTTGGGTTCTGGCCTATGTTAGTTTGCAAGGAACATTGGTAGGTGTTGAACATTATGCTGTAAGCCAACCTTCCAGACGCCGAAGCCAGGCCACGTAAGAAAAATCCCAGTCGTCTACTTTGAGTGGAGGTTGTTGGGAGAATGTGGCTCATCAGACGCCCACTAGTCACTAAGCACTGGCCGGTGCCAAAATGCTGACCCACATGCATCATGTATCAAGCGTCTTGTTTGCTTGGTGGCGAACCATGGGTGTTTCCAAAAATAGCCAAAAGCCACTATCCTTCAACCAGAGACCTCGGCTACTAGCTCATGCATACCTTTCCACCCGTTCAAATCCTTGAGAATTAATCTTGGGGTTTGGAGCAATTAGGACTAGAATTGGACACAACAACTAGAATTAGGACTAGAATTAGGACTAGAATCTGTTGCTTGTTATCGTTTCCATCATTCTGGCATGTCTTCGAGCTACAAATAATCTGTGTAATCGCTGGTACTGGAATCTTGGGCCTTTTTGCATCCCGAGATGGGTCTACGGTAGGAAACATGGGGAGAGACAGCGGTCGAAGATACAGGGACGCTTAATGTTGACACCGGTTTTTAATAGACGCTGCCGGATTTTGTGGGGGGGGGGGGGGTGAAACGGATCAAGGGGTTTACACATCCGGGGTCGACGCGCAACACCACACCATCCTTGTCAATGCCAACCTTTGAATTTCCCGCCTGGGCGTCCCCTAATGAAATGCTAAGTTGTTTACAGCGAATACAGGCAACCCACAACCATGTTGGAATGTTCCCCCCGCGAGCAAACAAAGATCAAGAGACCATGTTGGGGGTATCCTGGACTGCAAAAAGAAATCAAAGGCCAACCACGAGATCGGAACATCCCTTCCCCTCTGTTTACCTTCCCATGGAAACCTCCTGAACCACTTGTGTGCCATGCTAGCGGGAGGGAGGGTACGGCGCTCGTGGCGTTTCTTTTTTGCAGGCTCCATTGCGGCCTCCGGTTTCTCATCCTTCCTGGTTGCCCGCCAGTCTACTGCCCCACGCGGGCAGGGCTTGGACCAGTGGTACCGGGCTCTTTGGCTAACTTCTGGTCAAAAGCAAGCTATAGGCCGACAAAATGTCGTGATGTCTGCCTCCTGCGAGGTCGCCTGGAAATTTTGAACGAGCTTATGATGAAGGGACTAGCCTTGGGGATCCAATTCTTGTTTCAGGTGTTGGATGTTTGCAAAACATGCAAAAACAAACAAACTCCCGCAAGTCAACATGGAGGCTCAACGTCAAATTGGCATTGACCCATTCATCTGCAGGGGAGTAGGCCTTGTTTGGCAAAAGCAAAAAAACCCACTGGAGCCCGCGAAGCTGGGGACGGAAGTCTCCAACCAGCAGACAGCTACCGCAAGAATCCGCCGAAAGTCGCTAGGTGCGGCTTGACAATGGTCTAGGTGACTATGTGGCACAGAGAATGGAATCCAACTGGGCCAACAGCTCAAGTGGTAAACAAGGAAATCCCCAAGCAACTCATCTTAGCCTCACTCTGGGCTCTGCGAGCTCCATAGGTTGCTTCTTTGGGGCTTCTTGGGTGCAGTCTTTGGCTCAAAGTTTAAGCTGCTGGGGTGACGCAGGGTTTGGTCTTTGTTTCCATTTACCTGGGGGCCATGTTGGGTGCATCTTTTTGAGCAACAGCCACATCTTTTCTCGCTCCGTTTCGGGACTCCATGCGAAAGGTGAATTCGTGGCTCAGGAAGTGGTGGCGGAGTTTATCGAGCGCAGCCAGCGGAATGCTGGATACCTCGTGTCCTTTGACAATCTCTGGAAGGACGCTTGGCGTGATGATTTCACAAGGGTCCCTATTGTTTTCACTATGATATCTAGATATTATATATACATGTAATATATATATATATATATGCTATGTGTATCCAAGCCAGATTTTCTTGCCCCTCCAAAGGGGACCATTTGCATCTGGGTTTTCCTCCTTGAAAGGCGCATAGGCGGTTTGTTTGTCCCCGAAGGCTGGGCGATTTCGATCGCAACAAGTTGCCAGGAGCTTTGGAAGCTTCGAAACTGCGTGTGGGTTCGTGTCTGAGCCTTTGAAAGATGGAAGCGCAACATGAGTAGGCTTCCTTGGGTGTTCTCAGGGTCTGATGTGACCCGTGAGATTGGCTCAATCCTGACAAGTCGACCTTAGGGAACGCGGCCAAACGGGGTCCGGGTTGGGCAAGCTGCCGGGGTTGTCGGTATGACGTACATGGGTCACATGGAGAAAAGTGCTATAGGAAGGGCAAAAGGAGCTGCCAGCCATAGGGAATGTGCGCTTTAAGAACGGTTTTTTCCAGGGACACCCGGCTCAAAAAAGAAAGCCCACGGGTTCCTTTCGGATTGAATCAGTGAGGTAAACCCACCCAGGCGTGCGGTTTTTCCCCGTGTTCCCTGTGTCCCCGACCGAGGCGCCTGAAGACCATTCCTCCAAGGTCCCGAGGATGCGGGAGCACGTGTCTTCAGACAACCAGACTTGAGGGAAACCGCCTGTCTAGAAAACTGTCTGGATTGTCATGTTTTGAAATATATATTTTTTCCTCCTATGCGATGCTTTGTGGATTTCTTCTGTTTTTCCTCTGTTGGTTCTGTTTTGGCAATCCTTTCGTACACTTTCAATATCCTACAGGGCCGGATCCACAAACGTCACATCCAAGCCGTTGTCTAGAACCTTGATTGCTGTTGACCTCTCCGGAAAAAGGTTTTGACTTTTTGTGGGTCCCTTCTTATTGTGCCAATGTTCACCCTGGTGTACCCAGGACAGGGTCTTAGACACTTTCCGAGAAGGCTTGACAAGGAATGAGTTGGAATGATCCAAGAGAAACCATCCCTTATTGTTTCCTTTACGGGGATCCCCTTATGGTTCATTCACAACACCCGGTCCTGGTCATTCCCTACTGAGCAACAGCAAGAAATGTCCACTGTAATACCAAAGGACCACCACTTCAAGTGAACAAGGAGTCTTTGTGTTGACCCAGGAGCCTTTGGTGGTTGCTTTCAAGCCTCCTAAACCTTACCAATAAAAAAAATCGGGTGACATGGGCTTGGGTCTTGACTTAGAAGGAACGGTCTTTGGTGCGCAGGCCTCAGAATGGCAAGGCTTGGACGAAAATGGTCCCAGGGCGTCCCCCCTTCAGGCTCCATGTCATGTGTGGCCCAAACAATGTACTCAAAACGGCCCCTTGGTAAATGGAAAGAGATGGAAACAGTTTAGTCACTTTTCTAGCCAGTCAACAAAGGCAGGTGTGTTTATTGCACCTGTATGACTGATCTTACCCATCATGCAAGCCGTTGCACGCAACATGCGCCGTGTGTGTCAGGGCCCGCAGTAGGAACCCGTTTGGAAGATCGGGGCCTGATGGCCCGTTGAACTCCTAAGATGAGTTTCCTTAGGCCTTGACCTCCAGGGGTCCGTGAGAAGGTTTTACGTAGTTTCAGTCGATCTCAGCCCCCATTTTGACAGGTCGACCGGATTCCTGGACCCAATTGGCTATGGATTTTAGGGAGCCCCGTCAAATATCTTGAACACAACTCTCCTTTCAATTGGTATGCCCCATCAGGGTTCCGGCCCGGGATTTGGTTCCAATCAGAACCGGACTTGCGGGGTATTTGGATTTGGTGCCAAGCGGGGCATGTTGCAGGAGCTTGGACCTGCCCCTGATGTGCTTGGTGGTGCTCGGGGTTCTGGTGGCAGCGCCTCTCATCTTTTGCGTACCTCGGCGGGCAACGGACGAAGCTGCCAGTCTTCGTGGGTGTCGAGGCCCAAAAAGCCACGCTTTTGTGGGATGGCCTGGTGTGGGTTCTCACTGCCTGAGTCGGTTGCCATTTTAGTGGAAAAATATGTCCCCTGTTCGTGTTTGGCAGGCCTTGGGTGACACGGTTTCATTTGAGTCAGGAACTTGCTTGAACCAACAATGGTCGCCTCTGGGGCATATTTGGCTCAAGAGCCAAAACAGCTATTTTATTTTTTCCCACCCTCCCAAACCCTGGGGTGCAGTCGCTGATACGGCCTTCTGCACATTGGGGTGTGACAGGTGCTGCACTGCAGGGCTGTCAGGCTGCAGATGCGGTACGGCTGTCACTCTCACTGGTTCCCGTCTTCTGTTTGGTGCCAACTGATCTTGTGGTCGGGGGCTGTGCCCCGTCAGGGATCTAGTTGGGCGGACAGCTGGGGAGCCAGCTGAGCAGTTGTCTCTGTCAGACCTCTGGCTGACAGAGGTTAGCTGGACCAATGCATACAACACGACCTCACAGCATACATGCTTTGGAAAAGTGCTGCATGCTGTGTTGTTGTCGAGAGTGGTGAGGTTCCTGCTTGAATGTGAATGTGAGCTTTGTTTGGCCAATCCATTGAGGAAGTGAGAGAAACGCTCAAGCCTTCTCTGACCAGTCAGCTCAGCTTGCGCTACTCCACCTTTTCTTTTCAACACACATGGAAGCTACCTGAAGGGTTTTCAAAGAGTACCTTCCATGATTGATAGAAACATGGGGGTGCGCCCTTTCTCGGTAAAAGAAAAGGCTCAAGGTAAACATTGTCTTTCGTAGACTGACATCAAATTGAACAAGTCGATATTTGGGAGAGGTTGAGAGAGCTTGTACCCGCCGGTGCTCATACTGTGGATGGCCGAATTCCTGCACCACTTACGAAACCCTGGAATGATGAGTCCCCTGTAAATACCGACATACGTTATGGTTTCCAATGGTTTCTTAGGTGGTGGGAAATGGATTTCGTCCATCCACAGGAGGGTTTCATCCATGCAAAATGGGGGTCTTAACCATCAGGTCCGATTCCTTGTGTGAAAGGCCAACCCCTCGCGGGCAGAAAGGGCACGCATGGCTTTCGGAGAAGCCCAAGTCCGTTTGGCTCCTCAGGTGTTCTACGTGGTGCCAGTGTCCATGCTCATAGAGGCAGGGAAGTGGCTTGCATTTGAGAGGAACCCTCCACTAATTTCAGACCACCCCTGAGAGGATCCACAACCAGTGTCAGTTAAGACTGTTTGCACTAGCCCCAAGTCGACTCCCAAATTATCCCCCCAAAAATGGGGTGTACAACAGTACTGGTTTGGGGATAGTGGTGACCTTGTTCTTGGGGCTTCAGGGGCCCTGGAAGGACTGCACGTGTAGGCAACATATGCAATCCACAAATGGGTATGGGTCAAAATTAAACCACGAGGGGATCGTAGGGTGTAGTCGTCGGTTCCATTTACCAGGGTTCAATTTTGGCTGCCAATTTATGACCCACGGCCAAATCTCCACTTGAAAGGTTCATGAATGGAGCTTCGTGCTTGTGTTTGCTTGCTGGTGCTCAGCAGGGAATGAGGCAATGAACCCTATAAACCATCTCACACTTTTTTTCATTCGCGAATCCCCAGGTTAATGAGGCAATGAACCCCAAAAAACCAATGAACTCTATAAACCATCCCAAATTTCCTTCACAGGTTCATTCCATGTCTCCCTCCCCAGCGATGCGCGTGCCCGCTTTTGTGGCCAGGCCTTCTGGGGCGGCGCCATGCGCCCGGAGCTCGGATCTGACTGCAGATATGGCCCATGCAAAAACTGGGGTTGGTAAGACAGGGCTCCTTAAAAGACACGTGTTGCAACCATTTGAAACATTTTTCCGCCAAAGTCAGGGGAAACCACCATTGACAAGGCAATGTTCAGGTGTAAAATGTAAGGATCCCTGCAATTGTGTGCAATTATTGCATACATGGATTGTTTGGCATCCGGCTGGTAACATATACGATTTGCCCCTCTTGCCCAGACAATCCGACTGTAAGGAATATATAGCAACGTTTCACCCATAAGGGTGTCTTTATGAGTTATCTCGTACACATGGATTGTTTGGGGAAAGGAATCCATCAGGCAAACGGTGGCTGATTTCAGAATCAAGTCAGTGCATCATCAAGGAGTTCATAACAGGTTCATGTACGCACTGTATGGCCTTTGATTTGCTCAGGTGTTTGTGGATGGCTTCCTTCACTCAACCAATTCCTTGACTCGGGTCCCACCGCCCCCTGCGTATTTCTTTGTTCGGTGTGGCGGAAGCCGCCTGTTGGTGTTCTGCGGCCTTCGGATGAGAAGAGATCAGTGCAGATGTTGCTAACATTGACACCTCCAAATTCCATTTGCTTCAGAATATTGTTTGCTTTCTTCGTTGGTTTTAAAGGAAATCTGGACATATGTGGATTTTTGAGGAGGCTTAAGCAAACGGAGGCCAATACCGCTCAGAAAGCAGACCGATTGCGCAAATTCACGCTGTATTTGCCGAAAACAATTGACATTCGCTGCCCAGGGGACTGCTTCTGCATACCGCCTCCAAAGGACGCTCGGTGCCGTGCTTCAGTTCAGGCCGTCGGGCCCGTTTGGGTCAAAAAGAACCTTGTTTGGCCCAGGAAGGAAGCTAAACTCAAGCCGGTTGTCAAGGTGTGCCCAAAACGGGGGGGGGGGGCGGGGACCCATTAACACTACTACTGCCGAACACTCGTGTTTGTTGCGCCAGAACCATCTAGTTGGAAAATAGAGAAGCTTGAGCAGGCTACTTCCTCCAGGGGAAGATCATTTTGCGTTAGCCTCTTTGGCACGGTGACAGGGGTGCTCCCGGCCGCAAAGCAAGACCTAAAGAAACCGCAAGTCTGCAGAAGATGGGTTTGGTTTTCCTTGGTTCCTGTCACCACTTTTCCAGGGGTACCTTCCCCATTCTTTCCAGGGATCCTTCTTTCTAGAAAACCTCCGGAAACCCAGGGAAACCGGCCGGTTTTTGGAAAGAACGATGGTTGAAAAGAATAGAAAAGGAATCAACGCCTAGAACTTTGGCACATCCAAAGGGGCTGAGGCTTTGACCCTCCGGTTTTCCTGGCGACAGGAGCAGTGCGGGTTCCTGGACCTCTTGCAGGTGGATGGCACCGCGTCCCACAGGATCGAGGGGCGCCTGGGCCGCATAGGGATGGAACTCAGAGTGGGGCTTACAAGCCGGTTGCCCACTTACACTGCGAGTTTCTGGAACTCACATCTGTTCGGTTGGTGCTTTGCTTTATTCACTAGGTTCCCCTACTAGGTGCCAACTTTCTCACCCACTTTTTTGGTTGGGAGGGTTCCTCTAAAATAGACTACAGAAAAAAAGGGGTACCCTTATTCTAACCTCTCTATTGGAGGACCTACTAGGCCACGTTCCTTTGTAAAGGGTGGTTTGTTTGGTCACACAGGCAAATGGAGTCACTCAATGAAAAAAAAAGAAGGAATGCTCCTTTGGCCTTTCAACATCAGACCAAACAAGGGGTAGAAACTTGATCACTTTCTTTGGACCCAATGTTCAGAGAGCATCTGCCTGGGCAGATTAGCTCGGAGTAGTACTTTTGCGTATCAAACGGAAACCAGAAGGGAGCCCCGAGATGTTGAGACACCCTTGTGAATCAATCAACCAGACGACTCCGTAGCCTGTGGCATACCCAGTTTTCCTTGATGAACATTGTGCTGAACAGAATGGGGAAGAACGGGTGAAAAGAACGGGGAAGCCCAACCTTCAGACCTTCCGAGCACTTCAATGGCACTTCGGCTAAATCCTCTCAGCAAATTCGCCCTTCTCGAAGCGCGAGGAGCCACAGGAGTCCGTGGTGAAGTGGGGAGATGTTCACAACATGGGAGCCGCGAAATGTCCACCAAACAACCAGGAGACGACACACAAAAAGCTAAGCACGGAACACAAAGACTGGGGGACTTCCAAACTTACCGGCTCGTGCTTTCGTTGTCCTTGACCTTCGGAGTCCGAATCGGAGCGCGGTCGATCTAGATGTTGTTTTGTTGTTTTGAAAAGGAGTCCCGTTCGGCTCGGAGCGCACTCGGAAACCAGCACTGACTTCCACAGAGACTCATATTCACTCGTGCTCCCTTTGTCCCTTTGGCCGCGTGCGTTTGCGTCGTTTTTCTCCGGGGCGCGGGGCTCGCTGAGGAGCTTTAGCCTGGTGGTCTTGGTCTTCTTCGTGACTCTGCTGGTGATCCTAGCCGCCTGGCTTTTTTTTTCTCCCAAGGACCTGGGGATACCTGGGGTCCAGGGTCAACAGCTTGTTCTTTTTGGGGAGGGGAGGGGCCCCCAAAATATGAGCAAAAACAAGGGACTTTTTTTTCGGGGGCGGGGGGGAACAAGAAAACTGGTCCCCAGGAACCTGGATCCCATTTTTTTTGTTTTGCGGCAGGAAGGGGGTTTTTCAAAATATGAGTAGGAAAATGGGGCCCTTCTTTTGGGGGGCACGCTCCCAAAATATAAAGGTGGTTCCCCTACAAACGTTTTTTTTTTTTTTAGAAGGGTTGCCTAGTGGTGAGGCAGGAAAAACTCAGTCGCAGAGTTACCAAAAACGGGCCCGAAAAAGATGCAGTCTATTTTCACTTTTCCGGCGAGATTCAAGGAGAGAGAGAGAGAGAGAGAGCGAACAAAAGAAAAGGAGAAAAAGACAAAGAGAGAGAGAGGCAGACAGCGAGGGAGAGGGAGAGGGAGAGGGAGAGGGAGAGGGAGAGGGAGAGGGAGAGGGAGAGGGAGAGGAAGATCGATGAAACAAATTCGGCTTGTGAACCACATAGGAATCGATATCCACTCCTTTCATCCCATTGAGACTCCTGGATGTTGGCTGGCCTCTAGGTCCCTAAGTTCTCGTTGAGTTTGACTCTCAGGGATCCCATACTAGGTCCCCAGCGCCCTTTTACCCTTTTTTGCGGGAGGGTTCCCCTACTAAAAAAGGGTACCCCTAACCTCTCTGCTCAAGAACCTAGCATAGTTTTGGAAGCATGTCACAATGTGTATTCCTGTTGGCGGCGGCCAACCTGTCCTCTGACTTTGCTCCGAGTGTGTGCTGGATTGCAGTTAGGCAGCTGTTGGCCCCCAGACTGGCACTGCCAATTCTCGGATGAGGTCCTACTCGGCGATTCCAATTGCGCAAGTTGCAGCGAGAGTGCACCTGGGGGTAAAACGAGCTCACCGATGAATGAAGGTCCTTTAGTGGGGGGTTTTTTGGTTTTCAGCTTGGGAATGCTGATAATAATTTGCCCAGATCCGTATTCTGAGCCTTCCTTGAAGTTTTGGGTGCGACACTTGCCGCGCGAGGCTTTCGTGTACTCATGCTGCGGCATTGAGAACAGCCGGATTGGCGATAACCCAAAGCGGGGCCCCCCGGTCTGGGCAAGATGGATCACTTCGGATTGACAAGCCTCGCAAGATACCCAAACAACATCCATGCTTGCAATATTTACGCACCTTTACCCTCCAAATGGGTCAAGTGTTGGTGTATTACCTACAATCGGATTGTGTGGGAGAGATGAGACACCGTGGATCCTACCACTGGTGGACAGGATTTGTTCTGGGTTTTACACGATGTTTTTTTTTGGGGGGGGCCCTACTATCGGGGTTGCTGGATCCACTGGGAGGGGTGTCGCGACACTAATTTCTTGAAAAAGGGGGTCCTTAAAGATTGATTCGCCCTCTTCCAGGGGAGCTCCGAATTTGCTTTCATGTAGGTCCAGTGGAGGTCTGATTCTGTCTATTCATATGTGCGTTTCTTGAGGAAATCTATTTTTTCTAAAAAAGACAGGTCCGAGTAGTTCATATGTATTTTCAGTGTGCGGGCGCAATTAGCTCATTCGTGGGCAGTCCCAGCGTGTTTATTTCTGTGTTTCCGGAGGTCCAATTTTCTAGGAACCAGCTACTGGAAATTCGGCCGTCAACCAACAACTCACCACAACGCGGGGTTCTAGCCAACTTCTTGTAGAATTTCCAGTGCCTAGTTTGTTAATGTTGGACTCTCTGTACACCCCCCCCACCGGAACAGTGGAACCAGTCAGCTGGACCCTCTTTAGAGAAAATCCTGGGGGCCTGGGAGGGACAGTACTTACTTTAGTATTGCCAAGGATGACCCTCACATTCCCAGTACTTACTTTAGTATTCACGGACCCGATTCCATTCTTCGGCCAAGTGCTCCCGACCCCAAACGAAAGAAGAAGAAAGGAAACCGGAACTAACTAGTCCCTGCCTCTCTCCCTCCCTCCTCTGCCAAAAGGGAGGCTGTGCCCTGACCAATCTCGACGACACGGTTTAAAGGGACACCAGCTGGGAAAGCCGCCATTTTGCGGATCCCCCCATTTTGACGCATACCGGGGCAAGTTTTTGGGACCAGGGGTTCCTCTATGTTCGTTTTTGTCGCACACGCACCTGCACAGGCGGCCGGTCCAATTCTACTTTAGTATTGCCAAGGTTGACTCTCACATTCCCAGTCCTTGCTTTAGTATTGCCAATTCTACTTTAGTATTGCCAAGACCCGTTTTTTCACCAACCCCCAAAAAGGTTGGACACTAAAGAGGACCCCACAACAGTCACATTAAAGACGCTTACGGCCTCTTGTGGGCAACCCCCGTTGCGCGAATGTTTGCCCTTACTTTTGTGTAAAGAAGTTATCTTTAAATTGATGGTTTGGGGACCACTTCAAAAACGGGATTCCTAATGTGTTTTGTGTGACTTTTTTTGGCCAGTCGTTGTTTGCCAGGATAGAGGGTACTTTTCCAATTGGGGTCTAACATTAGATCTTGTCCTAGGTCCCCCAGTAGTGCCCGTTTACCCTTTTTTGGGGGAGGGTTCCCCTACTAAAATAGACTACAGAAAAAAGTTGGTACCCTCAGTCTAACCTCTCTACTGGAGGACCTAGTGTCACTGCTTTCATTTCATGGAAATTGGAGGAGACCGAAACTCACCCCGCCGCAACCCATCCGCAGGCGGTATCTCCACTGGCGTGCCCTGGTTCATCTCAGCAGCCGCTGGCTGGCCACTCGACTGGTTTAACGAATCGACCGCGGAGGCCCGTGGGCCTTTTGAAGCTTTTCTTCCATTTGCTTAAGTGTTGGTTTTAATGGGAATCCATCACTACTGGACTTTTTTTTTTCAGGGGTCTTAACCAAATAGAAGCTTTTGGTGTTCGGTATGTTTTCGGTATGTTCAGACCCCTTCTGCAGGTAGCTATGTGTCAAAATTAAACCACCAAGGGATCACAGGTTGGTGTTTAATATGTTTTCAGTGCAAAATAAGTTTTCAGATGGGTTCAGCTTTCATGTTCAGGCCCCTTCTGTGTATGCTTTCAGTATGTTCAGGCCCATGGCCCATGGCCAATAAACTGGTAGTGTTTTTTTTTTTTCAGAAGGCCCATGTCTTCGGCTTTCTGCAAGTGAGAAGTGCAAAATGGAACGTTCCGAGTCTCTCCCCGCCGGATCGGAGCAGCCATTGTTTTTGAGATGGGCCGCATCAGCGCGAGGCATCTTAGGCGCATATGTGCAATGAGAAGATCCGACACCGCTTGAAATCTTCCTTGTTCTCACCAAACACATGGTGGCCCCTCAGCTGGACCATTCCTTTTTGGTGTCCCCTCAAAACAAGCCCAGAGAGATCCCTCAAAGGGCGAAACGTTATGGGTACCAGTATCTCTTCCAGTCAGAACTGGGTCCTTGTGGGGAATGCTTGGTTGGCTGGCTTGGTTGAGCGTTCTCTATCTACTGGAATCGGGCAAGACATACACCATCTCCTGCACTCATGCGAGGAAAAGAGTTCGCACATCAAGCAAGAGCGCGCAGCGGTGGGAGCCAAGTAAGTATTGTCATAAACTTGTTCAGAGTTATAGCAAGGGGAGGCACCGCAGCTTGATGATCTGATAGCAACCATCAGTGACTCATACGGGCCGCTGTTTTTTGGCCAACCTTGGGACCAGCAAGGGCCGTGATCTTCCCATCGTTCCCTTTGCCCTATTCCACCGCTCGCCGGCTGAAAGTTGAGGCCCCTTTCCGGCATACCATGTGTAGCGACAGGCGAGAAGGCCGCCAGGTCTGACACCAGAAGTGAAACCTTAAGCTCAAGTGGGCGACTGCATGTTTTCGAGGGTACCCTTCCTCCAACTACCATGGCACCTGTGGGGAGGTACCTGGAAGATTCATGTCCTTTTGAGGGGAGCCCCTGTCAGTTGCCATGTTAGTTGGAGGGAGGGTACCCCTTTTTGGGCTTGGCTTTAAAGGAGGCCAAAGGGAAAGCGACCATTTTGGCCCATGTGAGCTAAGTAAGCGGAACGCGACACCCAGGCTGTTCAGATTCACCTATCGCCAAAACTGCACTGAGGGGTAAAGTCGTTGTAGTCTAACCAACATCTAGAACCAGAACTCCGACCCCAAGCACATCCATCTTAGCCGGCCAAGCGTAATGATGGGGCGGACATGCTTTTCCTTTTGAATGGGGTCCACGGACTGGTTTTAAGGTAATGCCGTCCAACCCTGGACCCTGTTGGGAGTGGTTGTAGCCCACAAAAAGGACACCAGGGGCGCCCAAAAACGGGGGCCCGAGAAGGGAAGCGCGACTTGCCCTTGGACTACTTGGGCTACTTAAGTTACAGCTCGCATTAAGCAGCTCTCGAGCCTTGAAAGGACTCACCGGAGATCAGGAGGTTGGTATGTGCATGAAAACCGCCAACCAAAGAGGGTGCCCGGACTCCAAAGCAGGATCCGCTCCAATTCTTCAAGAACATGAGAGTGCCCCCACACGGGGAACGCCTGAATTGATGATTGGAAAGGGGCTCCAATGTGTCGGAACAGAAGTAAGCTTGCCTGTTTAGGAGTTTACACTAAATCTTGGTGTGTCTTTTTGAGGGAACCCCCTTTTGGTTGGTTTTAAGGGGGAAAAAATCACACCATCATCTAGGGGGGGCTCCGCGAAAAAGGACACAAAATGAACCAGAAGCTCAACATGTCATGTTGTTTTTGACGCAAAAGCTGAGTAGAGACAGGCTGTTACTACTAGATGTGTCCTTCCATTTTTTCCTATGACAGGATCGCTCCGAACCAAAGATTACCAACCCGGAAGGGTAGATAATTCTTTGTGTTTCCTTTGCTCTTTTTTAGGGACCTGTATTCTTTTTTGGGTCTTGGGAGCACTGTAAGAGGGCGTTCCATGGCCTGAGTCCTTTGGCTCAGGTCATGCTGGTCTTGATCGCTGCCACGGTGCAGCTAGTCTTTCAAGCAGCGCCTTGACAATCGGAATGCGACGGGAATCTCAGATGTGGGGCAAATATCTAGGAAAGCAGGGGAGACCATCTTGGAGGAAGCGCTTTCGTGTTTTCTCTCGGTGTGCTTCACATTGAATGTGAAGCACACCGAGAGAAACACGAAAGCGCTTCCTCCAAGAATTTGTGATTGTTTGCGCCTTGCTTTGGGTGTGGGTTTCGTTTTGACGTGTTTTGAACATTAGAAGGCAGTATGAATCAAGAAAAATGGAGCCCTTCTTTTTCACAACCGCTTGGCACGAAGCTTCTCTGTCGATTCCATGTGAGCTTTGAGGCAAAGGAAGAACACTTGTCTTAAATGCATCCCAAGCCTAGCCAAATCGCACCTGGAGCTCCACCCATCTCTCTTGGGACAACATCACTCTATTTCAGGAGCTGTGGGACTACGGCAAGCAGCCTGGCAGACAGTGGGCAGAGAGGATCGTGCTTGAACTATTTTTCGCGCTGTTTGACTCAACTATGACCTAGTGTTTAATCTTCACTGAATCCGAAGCGTTGATGGTACGACAATCGAGTAGGGATTGAACTGAATTGTTCTGTTGCCCTCCCCCCGGCGAGCATGGAAGCTCCCAGAACCCCTTTGGAAGAGCCTGGATTCCAGGGGCAGAGGGCTTCTGGGAGCTTCCATGCCGGTCTTTTCGAAGCGTGACTCAACTCCGAAGGATCGTTTCACAGAGCACAAGTCTAGCCGTTTTCTAGAGACTCTATGGGTGTGCCTTCTTATAAAAGCCCATTTTGAAGCGCTGCTGCAAGCCTCGAGAAGCTATACCGTGAGGGCCGTGCTTACGCTTGGAGTCATTGGCAATTCCAGCAGCAAGAGGCATCAAGAAACTGTTTTTGATTGAACACGATACTCAGTTGCCCAAAGGCGAATCGACCTTTTAGCCTTTTGGTTCTCCCATCTGTTTCTAGTACCAAAAGGTTAACCTTTTATTTCTGGGTTCGTTGGGCAACTGAGAATAGCAACATCCAGGAACTAGCCCTTTTTGGCAAAAAAATGTGACCCCCTACATTCTGCTCCCCGGAATAATTATACCCTGCTGGAGTAGTAGGGCGTGTGGTGTTCCCTTCCCAAAACAACAAAAATAGTTAAAATAGGGGGTCTGGGGTAGGGGATTTCAGGTTCAGGGTTTAAACTTTCAGGGATGAAATTAAACAAGGCAATCATTTTGCTCAAAACATAAATAGGGGTTCTGGGGATTTGTTCTAGAATTTATAAACATGCTGTTTTTACAGAGTTGTTTTTGTTGTTTAATAACAGTCCAATATTTTGACATTTTCAAGATCATGTTACAGACGATTTGTTGGCTTTCTGGGGGCTACACGTGTGTAATCATATTTCGAGTTGATTATGAATAAACCAACCATATTGTTTATGGTGTCCAATTTGTAAAATCAGCATAAATACCAAAGTGTTCACCAATATCATTCTAGCACGCTTCTATTTTGTTGACCAACCTAATACAGTTTTCTTTGTCAATATGTTTGTTTCTTCTCTTATGCTTCTAATAATTGAACCGAATGACTGCCTGAATAATTAGAAAGTTTGTTCTCCTAAAAACAATGTTCATATATTCAAGTTGTTTTCAACCTGTATGTTTTATACTGTTTAACTCTGCTGCATATTCAATTACTTTTCCTTCATGATAATATAGTTCATTGTAAGTGTTCATTAACAAATCACGATGATAATATTTCATTAATGGGTTTTCAGGATAACCTAATTGTTTCATTGAATTAAATACATCGTTAATTTCTTCATAAGTTTGATAAGGATTTAACCTAATGAATCTTTTAACTTCATCACTTGTTTTGTCTTTCTATCTTCTATGGTTAGTACTGTCATACCCTTCATTACTCTTCTAATGTACTAAGGTCTCATTTATTTAAGTATATATTTCACTTTAGGGTAGTTTAATCATATTGTAAGCAACTAATATCAATAAACTTAGTCATAATCACTATCATCATCGGTACCTCTATAATTAAACCAGTCTATAATCAACCTGTTCTTTTCTAACAAATGACAAACAAATGTATGAAATAACACATTGTTTGCGTTGTAATAGTACTCTTTGTTGTTGATGATTTTTTTCAATGGTTTGTTATTCTGCACTGTTTCTCTTTGACCTTCGTTATTGGATATTAGAGAATCAATTACTGAACCCGTGCTGTATTCCCCTGCCATTTCTCTTTACTATGTAAGGTAATATGTTTTAAGTATATTTGTTGGTTTGGATTTTGTGGGCTTGGGTTCAACGTTGAAACTGTTGTCGTTTGTGTATCTCACCAGGGTGCTAGTTTCAATGCAACATCTGAAACTGGAACTTTGATGTATAAATCATATATACATATATATATATATATATATAAACCCCTGAAAATAGGTGGGCAACCCCGAAAAACAATACTTAGGTGGGCAACCCCGAAAAACGATATTTAGGTGCACAGCCCAGAAAAACGCTATGAAAACAATATTTAGGAGGAAACCTCCAACAGTACCCTTGGGGGCGGGGGTGGAGGGGGGGTGGGGGGGTTTTGTGGTTGGGTTGGTTTAGGGTTGGCTTGGGGTTGCAGGACTGGTTAAGGGTTGGGGTTCGGGGTTGGTTGTGGGTTGAGTTGTCCTACATGTCTGGATGCAAGGGTGCGAGTTCAGGGGCTCGAGGAGGGGGTCTGGGGACCGTAGCAGCGGGGTGTGGGCTTGGGGCCTGGGGGGGGGGGGCTACCTTTGGGGGGGGGGGGGGTTGGTGGCCTGGGGACTGGAACATATATTTGAGGGAAACCCAATATGTTGCACCTTGAAGTTGTCAGTCTAATAGAGCAAGATGTCGATGACTTACTGACCTCGGCAAAGGCGGGAATGACACCAACATACAAACAATACTGAATGACGACTTCATCTAATGCTGTGTCATTGAAAGCATCAAAAAGTACATCTTATATTTATCCGCAACGGTCTGTTTTCTGTTAAGGATGATTACTTGGTTTCTCGCGAGAGCACAACCGAAGCAATCTTTGCATGTTGGGTCTTTCTATGACAAAGCAAGTGTTCAGATACAATGAATGCAATGCTGTTGTTCAAACAACAGACCCAACTGCCACATGTCTTGTTGATGCAACCTTTTCAGGTTTCCATCTGCGAGCTTTTCAACTCAATCACATGGTTACGCACCATCTTTTGACACTTGGAGTGAGACAGTGACCCATCAGAGCGAGTGCTTGACGAGTAAGCTTTCATGAATAGGGCGTGGATGTATGCCAACGATATCTTGGTGCGTGGTTTTCAATTAAGAAGCGTGTCAATTGAAAGCAACTTCAGTACGATAGTCCTTCAACGCGACGTACTCCTGCACAAAGTCCAAGTAGGGCACAACCAGGTATTTCAGGGATGTCTGCTTTTTCTGTTCATCCAAGATGTTCAGCAAGGAGGTGGCGCTGTAGGACAGGCTCCCAACCCACTGTCCTTTATTGCCTTGCTGGCGTCGCTCTTCCCAGGCGCCGCAATATAGCAGTCAAAGAAGTCAATGGTATGGTCCTTATCCTCGCTCTCTTTCCTCCACCGGCAATCGTCAGGAGCATAGGTGTCCTTTTTGGTTGTTTTGGTCGAAAAATAGATGTCCCTGGCTTACCTGGTGGTTTAATCATCTACCAGGGCCATCAATTTCCCCTAAAAGGACACCTATGTCAAGGAGACCAAGATGCGGGAGTGCTCACCCATTCCGGCAAAAGACCCCACCGTCTTCCTCATAGACCCTGCCGTCATCTCATCCACTCCATGAACCAACCGCAAGGACTTCGTTGCCTGCTTCGTGGTCTTCATCAAACGAGTTCCGATTTGCAATCTCAATCCTCCCACAGTCATCGTCTTGTTAATTTCCAACTCCTTGACCGTGCCATCGGGCAGGACAACGCTGACAGTGAAGGGTGCCTTGGGTTCCTCCCTTGCGGTCTGCTTGTTTTGCTCTGCCTTTTTGACGGTCTTGTCTCGCTTAACCTTCATCGCCTTGACCGCCCTTACTTCAAGATGTTCTCTGTGGTGGAGGTAGCAGACGCACTTGTCATCATCACTCTTATTGTCTTTCTTGTGTTTGTCCTGTCCGTCTGGTGTGCGCGGTTCTTCCTCCGTCTCTGAACCTTCAATCTCACTGTCTGATGACTCACCATCACTGCCACCCGGCGATGACACATCATCCAAACTCCTGTGCTTGAAACAGTGAAGCAATCACACCATCATTTGAATTGCTTTTTGGGTAATGGCAGCGGATTTCATTGTTCAAGCTTTCACTTGCTTTGTCAATGACTACCGGTAAATGACTGCATGTTTCCGAAGAAGGCTTCACTCTGGGCATCCGCACTAAATATGGTGAAGATGAAGAGCAGGCACACCAAGCGGACGCGACGGGAAAACACCCCCCAGAAAGCCGAAAACTGGTCTGAAACCTGAACCTGAATCTTAGACTTAGACTGTTATTATTTAAAACATGCATACATTTGCTTACGTACACCCCACTAAACATACCCCAGCAATGTCGCTTCAGCCCATGGCCTCAAGGTACCGTGCGCTGGAGGGCAAGAACGTGTGCGCTGCCTACTGGAAGGCCCGCAAGACTGGCGGAGGCGCCTGAAGTTCTGACGGGCTGAATTCGCCGTTTCGCTGGACAGCAAAGTCATGTAGGTCATGTTTCTAGGGGTTGATTCCTTTTCCATTCTTTTCAACCATCGTTCTTTCCAAAAACCGGATCCGTTTTCCCTGGGTTTCCGGAGGTTTTCTAGAAAGAAGGATCCCTGGAAAGAATGGGGAAGGTACCCCTAGAATGTTGCAACATGTGGGTGTGGCCCTGAAAAAATGAGCCGGGGCAAACCGCAGGTACCAGGCCCCCCCAATGGCCGGTAATTGGCGTCCCGGGTGAAGTGCCGGCAATTGACCAGCACTTGCTTAAAAATGGTTTTGTAGTCACATGGATTTTTTTGCCATCATCAAAGTGCAGTGAAATGTCACTTTTGTTGAAACGTCACTTCCGGATGCTAGAGGGGATCCAATTGAGGGGTTGGGCTGGCATGTATGCTCATTGCACGTGCAACGCGCGGGGGGGGGAGGGGGGGCGACACGCTGGTGACACGCAACTATCCCAAAAAAGTGACCGTTCAACGTACATGTGCCGGCAATTGGCCACCCCCCGACACGCCGTGACACGCCGTGACACGCTCCTCAAGAACCCCTCCCAACCTCAAACTTGCCCTCCAAACCTCAAATTTGCTGCTCTCCCCTTTCCCCTGCAACCCCATTCCAGAGGACCCTGAAAGGTCACTTGTATCATTGCACAAATTGCACTAAGTACAGATGAGTGATAATTGATAGCAAAATGTTTTTGCAGTCACTTAGACATAAAGTGACATCGTTTTGCCCAAAATCGATGTGCCGGCAATTGGCCAGCCATTGGGGGGTGCTGGTAGTCTTTGGTTCCATTTGCCAAGGTGTCATGAAATTCCCCACTCCAACAACCCGGCTATTTCTTTGGGCTATGAGGTCGACCCTCTACGAAAGAAGGAGGTATTTACCATGAAACCCAGGTTGTTCAAAAAATAGCCCGAAAAAAGTGGGCATTTGGAGTAGGTATATATATATATATATATTCTACACTCAAAATGGGTCAGTGCTTGCTTTTCTTGAAGACCGTGCGAACATAAGCGCTGCTTGCCAGGAGGCTGGACTGATTTCCGCTGTTCATGCCTTTCATGGTCCATCGGGAGATGACTTGGACAACCAGCACGCAGGGTTGCTCTGTTCCAGCTTAAACTTCTGAGATGAGATGTTAGAACCAGCTAGCCACTTTGCAATGTTGTGCAATGAGCAACGCAGTTGCCGTTTGGCTTCTCGTTGGCCCGGCGGTAGCCTTGGTTTTCAGAGTCCGGACATAGTTGGCTGTTTGGGCAAGCGTGTTTTCTCTAGTACAGGGGCAAACCACATGTCGCACGAACTTTCAATGGTTCCCACCCAAATCACTAGCCTCAAGGGAACAAATCGGATATGTACCTTGTAGATAGCCGTAATACAGCGGTATACAGCCCCCCTTTTCTTGGGGATGGCGGCTTGGGAGAAGTTGAAGCCTTGTAAAGTTGTGAGGTCCAGGTGGGAAGGAGCACGCCGGGATTTGACGAGCATCGCTTTGAATGATTTGAGGTGTTTAAGGCAGTTCCGTTGAGTTGAAGACACCCAATCAAAGTCTGGTCACGCTGCTGCTCTTTGGCTGCACTTTGTTTTTTAAACCTTGAAGCCTTTTCGCACAAACAAAGACACATGCCGATCGCGCCGTGGGTCTTCAACTGCAAGGTAGTTGTTTTGGGGGACTCCCATGTTCTAGCCATAGATTCCTTGTCGCGGATGCTTTGGGTGTTTCGCAAAATAAATGCGTGGTCCTCTACAAGCGTTGATAAACGTTTGCTGATCTGCCTTTAAACCTAAAGCCATTTGGCAATTGATTATAGCGTTCAATAGGGGACCAGCTCAAAAGTGGTTAGTGGACGTGAATCCCCTAAATGATGTCAACCATTTCGGGTCCCTGAAAAAGACTTCATCCCCGTTTTGCGCCGCGTAGGAGGACTTTGCTCGGGGCTTTGGCTTCCAGATGAGCACCTGCTCGCCCAGAGCCGCGCCTCGGCCGGTCTGGGCGCTTGGGATTTTTTCGGGCAGTCAAAACGAGGCACGCGGGTAGACAAACCGCCCTGTAGCCTTAGGCATTGGGGAAAAGGTTCATCGGGTCGACAGGTTTGCGGCTGTTCCACTCGGCAAGTGAGTTGGGGGATGCATTTGCTGCTGGATCTGGTTGCAAGAAGAGCACAGCTTCAAAGACTTACGTGTTCGCTTTGAGCTGGCTCTGCCTCGGATTTGTCGAGGGGTACCTTCCCCATTTATTCGGGATCCGAATCTTTCTATAGAACACCTCCGGAAAACCCCTAGGGGAAAATCTGGGGGAACGGGGATCGATCCGCTTCTTGGAAAGGACTCCGATGGTTGAAAACGGGACTCCGGCACTGAGCCAGCGGAAGTGCTTGGAGAGTACGCACCCCGCGGCCTCAAGCACATGGCCGGGGAATCAAAACCGTTTTGGATCGGCTCCCATTTTGGGGTTCCGGTGAATTCACCACCCATTTTAGTGGTTGGATTGAATCGGATTTGTTCACTGGGGCTAACCGATTTGGGTTTTGACCCATCACATTGCAAGGAGCTCTCTTTGTGCAGGGTTTGTGCTCTATTACAGGCAGGCCGTCTGCAGCAGATTGCGAGTGCTGCCGTAGAAAAAGAAACCCACCAGTTAGATGGTTCCCTCAAACAAACACTTACCCTGACATAGATGTTCAGAGATTGATGACCATGTCTTAAGAACAATTGTGAAGTTATTGTAGATAGCTCCATGAACATGTATATCTTGGCTAAACGAGCGTATTGACTTGCTGGTTTCAGGGACGCAGCGTATCTGACATTATCTGACTTCCCCATAGCTCTGAGAACCAGGGTGGATTGCCGTGGACCTCTTTAGAAGGAAGCCTACCCTTTCACCAGCAAGCAACCATTTTTTGGTGGCCCAGTTGTTCGGAGATGTTGGCGATGTGAGGCTTCAAAGAGTTCCAGAGCATGATCCAAGAGGAGGCCTTTCGCCGGGTGTCACCGGGATAGAACCTGCGCCGACGCAAAGACGAGAAATCGGGACCTTTGGAATTCCACTGCTGGACTTTAAGCTTTAACTTTGCTGGGAAAATGTGGGTACGTTTCAAAGTAGGGGGACACTCTATTGCTTGAATGGTTGGTCTGCGCCACCAAGTTTCAGGAGACCAGGTCATGGAGCTGGAAACGATCCGCTTTCCAGCCACGGTTTCTCTCCGTCAAATGGGCCATACGCATGCTTGTACTCCGCAGTCATGTTGACCCCATATTTATTGATATGGGGTTGTTTCTGGGTCCCCACCCCCTACAATAAACTGGGGTTGATGAATATGGGGTCAACATTGCATTGCACTGATGAAAGCCGACACCTGAGAATCTGCCTACGGCATTGCGAAGACAGAGATACGGAAACGTGCGGCAGACAAGAGAGATTATACATGTAGTGGCTCCAAGAGGTCGTTCCCCAGACCTTGAAAACGGTTTGGGCCGCCGACCTTGGAGTTTGCCCACGTAACAGTCAGCTTGGCCATTGCACATGTGAGAGACAATGGCCCCTCCCGGCAAAGCTGGGTGGCAGCACGGCAAGTTCCAATGTTGTTTTCTTGTAAGGGACCAACGATACAACCCTCCTACGGACCCCTAAGGGTCCCAAAAATGATCCGTATCCCGTCGAAAAGGAGGATGAGCCGCTGAGAGAGCTCGCGGATCAAGGCCAGCACTCTCTCAGAGCAGTCATGACTAAAAGTCCTCTTGGGGCAGGGATGGTCGTCAACCGAATAGTGGGATTTTGTGGGATTCAATCAATGAAATGGTTCCCATTCAGGGAACCATGAGCGTGACCCACACAGGGAGTTCTGAGCATAGCGCAGTTTGCGACTGCTCCACGAGGTTTGGTCATATGGCCATTGAACGATTGGAGCTATCTAACCCGTCTTTTGTAGAACGCCCTGAAATTACACCTTTGGGAGATGACCCAAAGTGTGCGGCACTTCTCCCATGTGCAGCCCGGGGAGTAGTACAACAAGCTTCACATTGCTCCATGGTCGTTTCGAGTGTGATCCGAGATGAAGGGACTTTCCCCAGCGCTTTCACCCTGGGAAATGACCCGAACTGGTTCAGAATCACTGGGTTGTATTTAAATTAGCGAAGGATATATTTCCCCAAAGTGTGATGCGTGTAGCCTTTGACTGGTTCCTTGGCAATTTGTCGGGAGGGAAGACGTGCATCCAGCTGCCCTTCAAAATTCCCAGCAAGCTGAGTAGGTTGCAGGTCAACATGATTCATATGTCATACGCGTTTGTTTGTTTGTTGGTTTGTCGTTTGTTTGTTAGGTGCTTTAAACTTTGTTTTTGTGTGAGAGAAGCGGCAACTTGACAATCCAAATGCGCCTTCCCCCCCCGACAAATGACCAACGATTTGGCCACTGTCGCCAAACAAACACGACACTTTGGACCGAACCAGTGCTCGTCCCAGTTATTTGTCAAGCATCGAGTTGGCGGTTTGGATTGGTTTGGGGATTTGAATGTCTGGTTCTTGAGGGTAAATGGGAAACAAAGCCCTGACCTCACCATGAATCCAAACCACCATGGAGGGGGAAGCCGAATTTACGCACATCATTCGGAGGCAGTTCTCGCGAGGTAGTTTAGTTCAGTGTCCCGAGCACCATTCCAAAGTTTTAGGTGCTCGAAGAGCTACCTGTTCTCCCTTTTGCGGTGCGTTATCAGTACAAGTGGTCAACCCTTTTTCGCTTTTTGCATGGCCACTGGGCAACTCGGTTTTGCTAGGGCATGGTTCTGCCACACGTTGCAGGCAATACGACAAATTCCACTCTTCAGACGCAGTTCAAAGAGGCAGGGGGCCCCGGCTGTGCCCAGTCCCGGAACAAGGCTTTTGGGGCATGGGCAACCAAGGTGTAGTGGCTGTTGAGGTCTCTTTGAGGTATTAATTAACTGAGTCCAACAAGAAAGGTCAAGTTTTGGGGAGGCCCAAGCAAAGACTTGTTTGTTGAGTTGGCAAACTTCAAACTGCGTGTTGGTAGGTTTCTTCATAATTATTGACCTTCATGTTGCTTCTATGATCACGCCGTAATTTGTTTGTCAAGCATCCCACTTCCCCATTCCAACTATTATTCAGTTGTTTATGGTATATGGCCCTGGGAGCAGTAGACGCCTCACGAACGTTGAGAGTTGTCGTGGACCACTCTACTAAAGCCAGTTCATTGATACCTGTTTGTTAATGCTTGGAGAACATTAGGGGACTCGCAAAACATGATACCCCTTTTGGCCCTCTACTTTAGTATTGGTGGAAATCTGGGAGACCTTTAATCACGGAGGATTTGCTTATCGAGCACTGACATTACGACGTCACAGCGAGGGCGCTTTGCGGATAGTTATCGGGACTGCACGCACGCGCGAAATGGGGACAACGATTGGGCGTTCATGAAAACTAGCATGAGTGCACCTCACGCAATGAACGTTGAGGCTGGCTCTAACGTCCCTTTTTGGGGTATTGCGGCCCGCTACTGGGGGTGGGGTGTCTAAAAACATAGGGCAACTCGGATTCCCGGGCACACGGAGTTTCAGAGGTTCGCCCATTCGAAGGCGCATCTTTGCCATTAGACCTTTTCCTTTGACCACGTTGTCGAACAGAGCATGCTCTCTAAAGGGTTGCGTTTGGCTTTGCTTCAAGGGCGTGATTTGTTTGGATTGCCGTTGGCGGACCCCCCTTTTTTGCCACTGTTGGTTTGTTTGGTTGTTTGTTTGTTCGTTTGTTTGTTTGTTCGTTCGTTCGTGCGTTCCGTTTGTTTGTTCGTTCATTTGTTTGCTTGCTTGTCTGATTGTAGCACTGAATTAGCCTGTTACACTGGTTTTGCAGGGAGCTTGGATGACCTAAGTGTTGCTTTAGTATTGCCAAGACTTTGTTTAGTGTTGCCAGCAAGTCCTGTCGGATTGCCCTTACTTGGATTAGTATTGAGAGTACTTACTTTCTATTGCCAGCACTTCCTGTTGGATTGCCAGTACTTACTTTAGTATTGCCTGGTCTCAGTTTAGTATTGCCAAGACTTGCTCTCATTGCTTGTTCTGAGTTGATTATTGCGAGTTAATATTTGGTATTGCCAAGACTTACTCTCCGATTCCCAGTACTTAGTTTAGTGTAAAGTTGGTATTGCCAAGACTTATTCTCAGATTTCCATTACTTGCCTTAGCACTTCCTTTAGTCCAATTTTAGTACTGCCCTATTTCCTCCGCCCCAAAAGCTTGACATTAAAGAAGACACCCAACCAGTCATACTAAACAGGATCACTGGCTCCCGTGGGCACCCCCATTAGTGTGTCTGTTTGGGAGTGTTTTTCAATAAAGAAGAAACTTTAATTTTGCTGATTGGGGAGCACTTGTAAGTTGAGTTTCCTAGATCCAACGCCTTTTGCCTTTGAGCTGGGAAGGGCTTGGATAGATGAACGAACCATGAACAATTTCGTGCCAAGGCTTTGAGCTGGTAGTTTCACAACCGCGGAAACAAACTTGACATTAAAGCCAAGCACGAATCAGTCGGATTAAACAGAATGAGGGCCCCTTGTTGGGTACTTCCTTTGCGTGACTTTTTGACCTTGGTCTTAAAAGGAGGCTTTACAACGAATCGCTGATTTGGCGAACACTTCAATCCAAGGAATTCCTCCTTTTTGCGCGGGTTTCAGGAGAAATCAGTTTCCTATATTTGCGCGTGTTGCTTTCTTTGGGCTTTTGAGTTGACACAAAAGACAATCCCCAAACAGTGGGGGGCTCGTATTGAAGCCGAGGAAATTGACATAACTCAGGGTACCAATATTAAGCCAGGTGCCACATTTGGTTTCGGCAAACACCTAAAAGGCTACCAATCCAATAGGTCGCTTAACCAGCAATTCCTGGTTTGGCTGGTTGGTTTGGCTGGTTGGTTTGGCTGGTTGGTTTGGCTGGTTGGGTGAATCCATCTGACTTCACTGGCTCTTTTGATTGGGATCTGACTTGACTTTGGAGGAGTTGATTGCCCCCTATCCCCCACCCCTCCCCCCAGTCGCCATCCCCCCCAGTCGCAATCCCCCCACCCTCCCCCCACCCCCGACCCCACCCCCCAACCCCCACCCCACCATCCCCCCACCCCCCACCCACCCCAGTCACCCACCCCCCACCCCTCAGCCCACTGAGGACAGGAAGGGCTTCTCCTTCATCTGGAGCTTCTTCGTCCTCACCTTGGGCTTCGGCGTGGTGGCCTTGAGCTTCAAGTTCCTCGGCTGGTCGGGCCTCTGGAAGGCGCGGAGCGAGCGGCCGCGAAAACGCGGCGCGGCGGGCGTCCGGGCGTCCGAAAAGGGGGGGGGGCGGCTTGGGGGGGGGGGGTTGGGGGTTTGTTGCGGTGTTTTGGGGGGGGGGGGAAGCTTGGAAAAGGTTGGGGGGTGGGGGGGGTTTGGGGTGTGTGGGGGGTGAGGGTGTTGGGTTTTCCTTCGGGAGATTCCGTCGGCAAAATCAGCCAACAAATCCGGGTGCCCCTTTTTTCATGGGCCACCGGGCTTCTGAGGATACGAAGCTGGGCTTGGTGGTGTGGACTTGCTTGCTTGTTTGGGTTGCTGTGTTTTGTGGCTTTGTCATTTCAATAGTTGTGTACTTGCTCGGGTATGTGGTTGCTGGCCGGCTGGCTGGCTGAATTGTTCGCTTGCTTGCTTGCTTGCTTGCTTGCTGGCTGGCTGGCTGGCTGGCTGGCTTGCTTGCTGGCTTGCTTGCTTGCTTGCTTGCTTGCTTGCTTGCTTGCTTGCTTGCTTGCTTGCTTGCTTGCTTGCTTGCAAGCTTGCAAGCTTGCAAGCTTGCAAGCTTGCAAGCTTGCTGGCAGCGGGAATTCCATGATTTCCTCCACGTGGCAGTGCTGGATGAGGAATCCATGCCACAACGTATCGTGACAAGGGCAGGCAGCGATCGCAGTGCAAAGCAAGTGGCATCGGATGTGTCAACGAGACGTCTTTCGCCAGTTCGCAACGTATTGATGGCCTGCGTGAGCGTGCATGGCTCCAGGGGGTGATTCCTGCTTTCGTTTTAAAGTTTGTCCTTTTCAGAGCTCACATTATCACGTGTCAAGCCACCGCCTTTTTTTCCCTGGCCTTCCAAGAAGACTAGGATTTGAGCATTTCCTGAGTGAATGTTTGGGCTTGACCAGCTCTCGTCAAACAGCATATCCACGATCTCACTGGGGTCAGCGTAGGATAAGCTCCAGCTGGTTTGCGTCGGCTTGAATCCGCCAAGGCAAACGAAGATTGTTGCATGATCACTGAGCACACAAGCGAATCGCTGGGTGACGATGTTTTGATTCACAGGTTTCGGAAAGATGCTCAAGAGGCAAGTGTTCGCCAAGTTGTGACCTGGGATATTCTTCCACGAGTTTGTTCCTGCATAACTGCATAACTGAGCTTGAACAAGCACATGTTGCGCCATGCAAGATGAAAAGCTGCGGCTTGAAACAAATGAAGCGCTCACCTGGCCTCCTCACCTGGCCGCAAGCGCGGTGGCTCGCGCCAGGTGTGGTTGGCCGTGCTGCTGCCGCTGTGGTTCATTTGGCCGGCCTCTTTCCTGCTGCAGTGGCGGATCTTTGGGCCCATCACCGGGCAGGACTGGACATAGCCGGATGCGGGTGTGTCGCTTTTTGAAGGCCCTTCCTTGGGTGGAAACCAAGGAATACCGAAGCCAGTTTTTTGGGGGTCCCCATTGTGAGAATCTATGGAATCGGGTTATCGTGGTTCCCACTCTGGTGAGTGGCCCAAAAACGGCCGATTTTCCAGAACGGGCTGACTGATAGCTTTTCCTATTCGCTACAGAGAGCAATCCGAGCCTTATGACCAAGCCACCCTTAGTCGGTCGAACAGCTTCTTGTTTTTTTGGGACCCAAGTTTCGATTCAGGGCCTGTGGGAGACCGCTTGGGGTCTTCCCATTGAAAGACGGGTTGGGGCATTTTCAAGTTGGCGGGATCCTGGTGCCGGGGATGAGAGGAGATGACTGCGGAGCGGGGGGGGGGGGTGAGGTTGGCGCATGCGTTCCCAAGCCCTTGGGCCTTGTGGCCTCATTTATCTTAGACGTATTGCAGCGGTTTCGAGCGGGGCATAAACGAGCGTCCCTCACGAAGGTTCCTTATGTGGAAATCATATGCATGTTTTTTTGAACGATACTGTTTTGTGCAGCTAGTCTCCCTTCAACTTCAACCTTGAAGGAAGAGCAAATGAGCTTGCGGAGTTAGGCGAGGGAACGAGCCTGTCCCAGCACCAGACAGCCAAAGATCAACTCATCTCGCCTTGATTCCTGAGGCTTCCTCTTGAAATCCACCAATGAATCTATATCTCGAGCCGGGACTTCTCTTGAAGTGCTGTTTCCATTTGATAAGCTTCAAAAAAAACATGGACCAGAATTCGAACACATGTGCAGAGGAATCGGTGTCCTTATGGGAAGGCTGGGGATTGAGGCCCTGGTGAGCCCCGTCTTTGACACCCAGATTGTGGGCAAGTACACGGAAAGGGCCTGGACCATCTTCACCACGATGTCCCTGATCCTCGCTGTGGCCACTCGAACTTCGAACTCGGATGCGGTCGTTACCTGGAGGTTGAACGAGTGGTGTGTGAAGATCAGAAGGCTCGAGCGTAAGTGACGCAGTAGGCTGAAGTAGGCTGAGTTGGCAAGTTTCAAGTTGTTTTTTCCTTGTTTTTTTTTTACAAGAATAGTTCGAGTCAAGCCCTGCGAAGCTTGAGCTTTTCTGACCAGTCAACTCAGCAGATCAGAAGGGTCCAGCGTTTGGGATGCGAGGCCAGCCTGCCCTTGTTCAACTTTTTGCACCGCTTCGTGCACATCTACTTCCGCGTGCGCCTCGCCCAAAAGAGGAGCGCGGTGGAGTGAGTCCTCACTGCCAGACGTCGTTTTTTAATTATTATTATTATTATTATTATTATTTTTATTGTTATTTTTTGAGGGACTCCCCCCAGCAAAGCGGAGCGTCTTTGGTTTCCAGTGAAAACAAATGCAAAAAGGGAGATAGGGCCATGAGTTGTGCCACCAGTTACACGCCCGAGTTTCCCAAGTTGAGTCACCTTCAGAGACTTGGATAGATTTTGTGCCAAGTTTCTGAGAAAAATTGTGGACCCCTGTTTTTGTTTTGTTTCCCCGACCCATTTCTCATGGGCTCCGCTTGGAGAACCAATCAGGTCCCTGCAGCGGGCCTTCTACCATGATGGCGCGGACGTGCCAGTGGAGAAGGTCGGTACCTCCCGAAGCGCTTGGAGAGGTCCCCCCAAGTGGTTGGTTTTGCTTTGGATTTCCTTCCATGTGCTGAAATGTGTTTTTGTTTCTTTCTTAAAACAAAAACAGTTGCCTTGTCGGTGTTTAAAGGGAATCTATCACTACTGGATTTTTCCGCTGGATGCGATGCTTTTGTGATTTTCCCTGGTCGGTGTTACAGGGAATCTCTCACTACTGGAAATAGTTTTCCAGGATTGGAGAGTTTCGTAACCCAACCCCCGAAGAGCGAGAAGTGGGGTTTCCGATGAAGGTTAGGAACTTATCCAAGGAGTGTGGATTCTAAGCCTTTGGACATCGCTTCGGTCGACATTCACGTGCACCACTCGCCAAAAGCGGCGCTGCTGGCCCATTTAGCCATGGAATATGGCTACGGGTCTGTTTGAGACCATTTGTGTTGTGGTTGTTTGAAGTTTGTGAGATCGTCTGCTTTTGAGACCATTTCTTGTTGGAGACCTAAAGACCCTTTCTATTTTGTTTGTTTTGGTTTTTGTAGGGGTTTTCACACAGTTTGTAATTCACACCATTTGTTTGCCTTGTTTTGGTTTTGTGGCCTCTGGGTTTGTTTGACTCCGACAAGGCGGCCTCTCAAAGATCTCGCCAGGTGGCCAAGTGCCCCTTCGTGCCTGTGCTGCTCTTTGGCGCCTCGGGCCTCCAAAATTTGGTGAAACAGGGCCATGGGCGAGTGCGTGCAGGTCCTGTTCAGGGCGCTGGGCCAAGCACGTGGATGTCACTGGGTAAAACTCCTGAACAGAATGGTTGTGTCCTTTTTGAGCAGGGCTCCTTAAGAGATACAGTTTGCAACCATTTGAAAGATGTTGCTTTTTCAACACCAAAATAAAGGGAAACCAACATTTACAAGGCAATGTTCAGGTGTATATTGTAAGGATTCCTGTAAAACCAGAGCTAAAACGGAAAACCCGGTTTTTTGGGGAAAAATGCTCACCCTTGGTTTGGATTCAAAGGTGTCCTTTTTGGTTGATTTGGTTAAAAAATCGAGGGCCCTTTTCCTGGTTTAAGTGGTGGTTCAATCAACTACCAGGGCCATCTATTTTCCCAAAAAGGACACCTATGTACAAAACCCTTCGGCAGAAGGGGCACTCCGCGTCCATACCAGAAGGAAGCCTTTGGTATTTAGGTGGCTCATCTTTTTAAAGGTTGGACCCCAACATTGGCTTCGGTTTTTCTGTTGGTTCTTTGAAACTCAGCCAGCAAGGGGTACCCCAAAGTAAAGATACACCCATTCTTTGCCTCTAGTTGCGTTGTAATCTCCCACAACCAAAGGCTTGCCTTGTTTCCGGCGATTCAGGGAGGCGAACCATGTGCAGCGCCTGATTTCTGGCAAGTTTCTCGGTGAATCGGGGTTTCGGGAATGAAGCCTGAGGGGTACCTCAGGGCGCTGATTTCGTTTGTTTTCTTTTGAGAACCCGCGAGATTGGTTGTTTGCCCTCAAAAAAAAGTCATTCCAACCCAGGGATGGTTCATCCATCAAGGGGCTAAGTCCTATGGCAACCAAAGAAGCGCAACCCGGAGACAGGTTTTCAGGTCACAGAGCCCGTGAAAGGACATCTCGAGTGTGCTTTCCCTTGTGTTGGACTACGCAAATGAGATTGGGCACACCGTCCTTTCCCCATTGGAGGAGCCAAGGACCAGGGGTCTGGTAATTTGGGAATGGTATAGAAAGGATACAAGATCAGATGTGGTCGGTTCGGGCGCCGAGTTTGCTCGTTCCCCATGAGTGCGTTTCTTTTGCTGGACTGAGCTACTGGCAGCTTTTCTCTGGATGTTTGGATTAACCATGCAGCAACTTAGATACATTTGCAAGGGGATACTCCCTGACTTTAGAAAGCTTAGGCACTAGTTGCCAATGGGGAAAATGGCAACCATGTCTGCTGATGCTGAACTTCCCTTCCTTTCGCGGTACCGTCCCAAAAACACACACCCATGATACCTGCCAGATGGTCCCTGCCAGAGGAAAATTGACTTTCAAGAACTGTGGTGCCCTCCAGGTTCCAAGTGTCACGATCTTTGAAGGGCCCCTTTTCTTTTGTGCAGATCTATGAATCATCAGATGACTGCCAGATGACAAAGATCAATGTGCAGGTGCCACGTTGAACGAGTTCCAGCGTCCGGAGAACGAAGAGCCGCACTGCTTATTCGTGCGCGGCTGAGCTTTGATCTTGAATCAGCCCCAAATAAATGGCTGTTTGGAAGGGGCAAGCATTGCACAAACGCATCAGAGGTGCATTTTGCTTGGATGTTAGGACTTTAACTTTTTGCCAACTAATGGGTTGTCCATTAAACCACCAAAAGTTAAACTTTTGGCAGGGGAGCAGAAAGCAACCGAGGCATGTTGCCATTCCAATGCGGATGTCCAACTCAAGGATGGGGACAATGGTGAAGAGGCCCATAGCCAAAGAGCACTAGATGTGATTGGCGGCCGGAAGCTTGCGTTCGTGAGCACCCTCCCTATGCGCGAGCTTGCCCACCTCTTTGTTCGGGTCGCTTCAAGTGAACGTTAATTATTTTTTGTGGGGTGTTCTCAAAATTGCATTCGGGTTGGCTTCCCTTTTGCACCACCAATGATATTGCAACTTGCGGATTCCACCCACCAAGTGGCCTGGCTTGGGTGTTCGATTCGCCAGGTTAGCGAGTTGCTGGTACCCGTTCGGTTATATTCCACTTCTAAGTCCCTCGTACCAGATTGCCAGGCTCTTGCTTGTCTCACATTGCTTGGCCGCCTTCCTTGTAGGCAAACGGATGGGACAGTCCCTTGCCTTATTTTTGCAGCACACTAACCTCGTTTAGGGGGTTTACCCAAGCCCACTTTCTAATTTGGTGACCGGCCGGCCTGTTGCGGGCGCGCCCAGTCCCTGTCACAGCACGCCATGGGCTGCCAAAGGACTGCGTGCAGTCCGGAACAGAGAGCTATGGCCTTTGTGTGCGAGTGTGCATGTCAAGATAAGGGGACCCCACTTGTGGTTGTAATCGACCCTAAAAAAAGGGTGCCCGCAAGAAGCCGCGCACTCATTTGGCCCAATGAGGCTCAGGCCACGTTGCGGGGTCTTTGCTGGGGAAGGGCAGGATCGATCCGGATCACACGACCTCAGCCACAGGGTTGGTGTCTCACTGGGCTCCTTTCACGATCCGAGTTGTTGCCTTTCCAATCATGGCACAGGGAACTTCCCCAGAAGCAAAGCAGTCTTCGCAGACGTGTCGAACGGGTATCAGCTGCACCTGGCTTCCCGACTGCCGATCTTTCCAGGCACCTCAAAAAGGGCTGTTTTTCAGGGCCTTTCGGGTTCTCCTTTGGGTCAAAAGCGGTAATAAGCTCACCGAGGCTCACCCGTGAAGCTCCTCTAAGGGATTCCTCGTTTGGTGAATTTCTCTGCAGATCGACATTGTGGTTTTTCCAGAAGATCCCTTTCAAGATGGTTCTTCTTTTTCGGGGGAGGGGTCCAAGTTCATCCGTAGGGGAGTACTCGATTATTCTACTTTCCACGTGGCTGTGGGTCAAAAACATGTATCTCAAATGGAACCCTGGTAAATGGAAAGAAGGACTAAAGCCTGCGGTCCAATTCCTGGTGGTTTAATTTTAACCCATACCCAACGTTGCCAGGACCAACTTTGTACGCTGCCCTCAGTGGATGACGCTCTCCAAGTGCATGACTTTGAGCTGCGCTGCCATTGCCGTGCCCTCAGGTTTGAGAATCAACACCTTTTTGAGGGCCACGGGGGGAAAATCGGCGAGTTCAGGGAAGATTTCCTTGGTTGGTTGCCACTCACATTGACAGTTCTGGGGAGTTCCTTTGATTCAACTCATGTTTTGGAGTGGTGAACCATGTTTGTTATTGTGTCTGTTCTTGAAACAAACCACTCAAATTGGTGAGGAAATGACCAGGGAATCCCACTTTTGTGTGCAGGGCATGCTCCCGAAATTGAGGATGGAACGCCTGGTCGGACTTGACTTTGAAAGCTCAGTCGCGAGTGGAAGGATTTGGGGGGTGTCTTTTTATTTTTGAGAGCCTCGAAAAAGGCGCAGCGGTTTTCCTTTTGGTTTTCCTTGACACCCACCAAAAAAGGGGTCTCAAAAAGACGAGCCACGGATGCGACGGACTGAAGAGAGTTGCTATACTGGGGGGTCTCTTATTTCCCATTTCTGTATGCAAATTTGCCCAAATTGTTGAAAACAGGGGAACTTGATCTTGTTTGGGGGCATACTGAAAAGGGTATCAGAGGTGTCCTTTTGAGGTTAGGTTAGCAATCGATGGCGCTGGTTAGATTGGTTTTATTCCATTTACCATGGCCATTTGTTTCACCAACTGATCACCTGTGGAGGGTACGTTTAGCAAAACTACTCCTTTTTGGTCAGGACCGAGGGATATGTTTGCTAAGGATGGCTTCGTGCTGCTTGGCTTTGCACTTGGATCTACGAGAGAGGTACACCAAGAACGCATTTGAGGAACACGACGATATGTAAACTGTTTAGTTGTTGTTTCAACGGTTGTGCAAACATTTACCACAGCGTTATCTCTTCCCAAGCACTCCATGCATGCAATAGTTTCCCACACTTACCCTCCAAATTAGTTCAATGTTGGTATATATTGCCTATAGTCGGATTGTGTGGGCTCGGACAGGGTCTTTGCAACTTGCTGTCAGTTGACATTCCTTCTCGCAACCGCGATAGCCAAGGCTTACTCAAATCAACAAGTGGCACACGCGCATCCTGCAGCTCGGCAGACAAGATCTGCGGCAGTCCATGGTCCAGCTGATTTGGAGATTTGGACATGGACTCACTTGATGTGAACCACAAATCCAGGGGACTCACGGCGCCTTGAGGTGAAACAATATAGATAAAGGCTCACTGCCCCAAACAAGGGTGTTTCTTTGCCGGGGGGAGGGGTGGTGTGAATCTGTTTGTGGGGAGGCTGAAGGCTCCCTATAGCTGGAAGTGCCTACGCTGGAGGAAGTTGTCCGATTTTTCGTAGCACATCTTCCTGTAGGGGTATGACCAAACCACATGTAGACAAGGTTTTGTTTGGATGTTCAATTCACCAAGTTAGTAAGTTATAACCGAACGGTTACCAACAGCTTACCTGGGCCAATCGAGGACCCAACTCAGTGGCTCGCAGCCATCCTCTTCGCTTTTCAGATCTTTTTCGTGTTTAGTGGTTGGATTTCCATTTAAACCAACACACTAAAAGATAGACTTTTCGCAGGGGATCTGAAAACGGACGCCGAGCCAAGTATGCTGTTGGATTTGCGGCTAGTACTGTCCCTCCAAACAAGCGCCACCTCCTGAACGCCCAACTCCTGCTTAATGCAACTGCTTGGCCAAAACAGTTCCCAACTCAAGATGGGTGTGGCTCAAACTGTTGGGAGCTAGGGCTACGCAGGTTTTACGCTTTGGTTCCATTTGCCAGGGTGTCATGGTGCTTAAACCCTAAACCCCAAGCTATAAACCCTAAACACATTTGGAGCTACAGCCACATTTTTGGAGCTAAACCATAAATAGCTGCCACCGCCTTCTTTTTCCTTACTTGGTTCTGGGTAGACCATTTTAACACCTGGTTTTGAGCAAGTGACTCAAATGCCACCTCCCGGTCTCTGGTTCGAGGATGGCGATGCTGAACCTCACCCAGGGCGACTGGCTCCGCTTCGACATTGGTCAGAACTGGCACTCCCTGTCGGGGAGGTTCGCGGTGTGTTGGGTCGTGCACATTCCAAGCCCAGGCCCCAGGCCTTCCATTTGCTTAAGATGTTTTGTTTTGTTTTTCTGCCCCCTGTGGGTTTCAAGGGGAATCTATCACTATTGGAAATATGTTTTGTGTATTTTGTCCAGGAAGCTTAAGCAAATGCAAGAGGCCCCTCTGTAAGAAGTTCAGTACAGCCACCATGATTTGGTTGATCAGAAGGCCCTTTACATGGGATGAGCATCAGGGACGCACCCAACAAAGGATGAGTTTCACCACTCGATGGGAAAAGTTAGTGATGGTCGTTTGGGGGCCAGGAATATTGATCAACCCCCATTTAGCGTTCAGGGGTTTAATCCAAGTTGGGTCCTGGCCATTCTTTTGGGGGCAAGGAACCCTAGGGCAGATGAAACAGCCTCAAGCGACCTTCAGGTTTTCTGTTTTGGGGGGAAGCGTTTGACATGGGCGTCCGGCGTGGAAGGCAGCCATCCCTTGTGTTTTCGGGTATCCCCGGTAAGGGGGGAAAGGCGAAGGCTTGTGTTGGAGCTTGGAGCACATACCCATACCTCAGTTACTTGTATGCACGGGTGGATTTTGTTTGTTGCTCTTTCCGCACTTGTTTAAGGTGGCTCCATTGGTGAGGTCTGTTAGCAGCAACTCTGGGGATGGGTAGCGTGCCGCAAGGCCATTCTCAAACCCGATTCCGTGAGGATTTGAACAGACCTCAAGGGACTAGATGGGTATGGGTCAAAATCAAACCACCAGGAATTGGACCGCAGGTTTTAGTCCATGTTTCCATTTACAAGGGCCCGATTTTGGTGACCTATTTTTGACCCACACCCAGATTGCAAGCCCTTAGATTCTGTTTTTCTTGGCAGACCGAGTAAACGAATTGCCCGCAATGGGCTCAATTGGTGGTTTGGATTGGTGTTTCTTTTGCATGTGAACCCCTTGCTCCCGTTGACACCCCGAAAACCTCCTCCAAGACATATGAGGTGGCTCTGCATGTCATGTTGATATTATGGAACATTCCAAAACAACTTGTCTGCCAATGGTCCCCCACCTACAATTCATGCCCATGGGGCATCCAACGTTATCCCGCTCAGTCTCGACGCATTATGTCGAGCTCGCATCGGGCTAGAATGAGCTTATTCATCATGAAAACCCAGCTCGGTTGTATTGCCAATTGTGCAGCACAGAACCCGTATTGGCTATTGATTGAAGTGGTGCTACTGCCTGGCTTGATGGGGGGTTGTTTTAGCAAGGCCTGTAAATTTTTATCCCTCTGTGGGATTTGTGAGTTAAAGCAACTTGGGGAAGTGTGGAGCACCCGTGATGCTTGGACATCCCGACTCCCAATTCATGACTGGGTCCCCCAGTAGTGCCCTTTCTCACCCCTTTTTTGGTTGGGAAGGCTCCCCTACTAAAATAGACAGCAGAAAAAAGGGTACCTAGAGTCTCCATGACCCTTTAAAAATTAGGTCCATGACCCCATTATGTGGGGTAATGACCCCGTTTTAAAGGGTCATGGAGACTCTACCCTTATTCTATCCTCTCTACTGGCTGACCTAGAGTTTTCTCAGTCGCCCTTCGGAGCGCCAGGTTTCCCGCACTCGTGGATCAGCCACACATCGCCAGCCTCATCGACAGGACGGCAAACGAAATGGGCAAGGGTCGCGAGCAGGGTCGGAAAGTAACATGCAGATAACCATACTGTGGATGGTTGCAAAATCCGTTTCGCACCACTCTGAAACCATGGTTCAAACCATATTTTCTTGATATTTACAGGGGGAATCATCATTCCAGGGTTTCTTAGCAAGTAATTCAGCGCGCTCAGCAAGCGCAGCCCGAAACGAGGTCATCTCTTAGCGGTATTTGGGAACATAGATGGCCCTGGTAGATGATTAAACAAATGGGTCTACACGGGCCCTGTATTTCTCCACTAAGCTGAACAAAAAGACACCTATTGTGGCTGGACGACATCCTGCACAGTCCCGTTTTGGGTTCCGGGGCAATTTGCTAGTAAGAAATACCAGGCGTTGGGCTTCCGGGTTTCTTGAGGGTGCCCTGTTATGTTCTAAAGCAAACCAAGTCTTAGGGACACAAACCTTCAGGTTTGCTTCTCCCCAACTCCAAATACCTTCCTCTGTGTTGGGGTATTTGTAGAATTTGTGGTGCTTTGTTCATGATGAATAATATAATGACATATGTTTAAATTATGGGCCGTTGACATATCCTTTGACAGATTTAACAGAGGCAGAAGTATTTGGAGCTGAGTTTCCTAAACACGGAGGAGGTTGATATCAAAAAAGTCCGACATACATTCCCCGTTTCTCATGTGAAGCTGTGAATTCGGAGTCGGAATTCGGACTTTTTTGAGGATGCCGGACATGATCCTCTTCGCCTGCATCTACCTCTTCATCCTCATCGCCAACCTGAACTCCACCTACAGCTCGGGCACTGAGCTCGTGCCTCTGCTGAAACAGGCTCCGGGCCCAGATCCGAGCCGTTTTTTTTTTTTTTTAATGTGCGGAACCCCAAAATTCAAAATGGCTTTGGCTTTCCGGTTGGTTTCTCTTTTCAAGGCCACAACTTGGGAGTACGTGTTGCTGTCGTTACTTTTGATTTTGACTAGTGTTTTTTGTTTTGGGCGCCCCGCAAAGGGAACGAAAGGGTCGTTTAAACGTTGGACATGTTATGTGGACTTGCTCCCCGGCTCAGGAGGGCAGCGCGGAAGCATGCATCTCCAAAGCAAAAACAACTGTTACCTTTGGGTGTGGTCTTCGTCGGCACATTTGTTGTTCCATCTCCCCCAAAGGTGTAGTTGTTTCCAATCCTAGCACGCGTTTACTGGAGGTGCCCACCATTGACTGCCTGCTGCTGGGGATTCCTTCTTCCAGGTGAAGAAGTAGTTGCCTTTGGCTAATCCTCCAGAAGCCAGCAGGATATTTCAGGACCTTGGTGTTTCAGGGTCCTCTTCTACGGAATAATTGTTGAGCAGAGTCCTGCTCACAAAACTGTTCCCATTGAAGCTAACTGGGGGGCCATTCCTCTGACAAGAACGCCCTGCTGGGTTCCATGTTGATTGGCAGGGGCAAGTGCCGAACGCAGCAGGGGCCGAGGTTTTGCTACAGGAGAGTGCAGCTTGAATGTTTGGCTTGCCGGTTTTCGGGAACCCATTGCATGGGGTCTCAGAAACAGGCTCTGGTTGCTGGCAGCACAGTCATGTGTGCCAGCTGGGGGTTCTTGGAAGACCACGTTATACCATGTTGCTCCAAGTGGCCGGCGGTTGGAGGTCGACCCGTTTGTTAGAACCCATTTCTTTGACTCCATTTGATAGGGCGGATTTGCTTGACCCCATTTGTTCGACCCCATTTGCTTGACTTAACCTTTTCATCCGTTTAATAGCGAACATGTCTTGGCGCCGATGTAGCCGTAAGTCCGAGGACAACTGTGACACCTTCAAGTTCTTCCGGAACCTGTCCGCTGCCTTGATCGGCATCTTCATAGGCAGATGCGGTGGGGCTCGGGGGCGAAGCTGTGTCAAAGCCAACCGGAAGGATCCAAAAGGGGTTCCCTCGAAACAGACACCCGTCAATAGACTGTACCACAAACTTCTGGATATCTTGACGGTCCGTTCAAAAAAGACAAACCCGTCTATAGACATGACATGCAGCACAGACTTCTAGCTATATTTTGACAGAATCTCACATGGGATTCAATCAGATTTGCCTGTCTATGGTACATTTGGGAGGAACATGCGCGACTCGCAACATCTCCCCACAAACCAGGGACAAGCCCCAATTTATCCAGGTTTTCAAGAGAAACACCGTGGGGCACTAAGGGTTTCCCCCGGTTTCCCAGTTGCTTCTCGAAAAACATGCTTTTTTCCTAGTTTTTTGTTTTTTTCTGCATGGATATGTTGAGCCCATTCTAAATAAGTCCTGTTTGAACCATGCCCCGCCCCCCCCCCCCCCCCAGCAAAAAACAAAGAAAGAAACAAGAGCAAACAGAAACAACTGGGCAGACCGTGGTGGCAGATCCCTTTCCGTTGGCACACAGTCAGGTTGCGCTCCAAGTTGAAAAAGGCACCCCAATCCACAAGTCAAGCTCAATGAGAGCATAAACCGCATGACCCACAGGGGAAAAGCGCGGATAAAGCGGATTCCCTTCCCTCAGTGATGGGCACCACAGAAAACGCGGGCAGTAGTCGCGAGACTTGCCCCCCAGAGATGCAGCTGTAGAACGTACACCAACCTTCGTTGACTGGAAGTGTGGCAAGGGTTCCTTGTTTGTTCTAGCCTCCCTCCCACTAACACTGAGCCCCTCTCAGGTACTCTCTTTGAAATGCTATGTTAGTGGGAGGAAGGGTGCTTCTTCAACACCCAGGGGCGATTTCGTTGGAGCAACACCCAGGCCAGTTTCAATCTTTCTCGGGCAGCGGATAATGATGGCATTCCATGGCAGGCTAACAGGAGAGTCCCTGGAAGACTCATCTCGCTTTATCACAGGTCCGTTTCGGGGCGTTAAAGGCTGAGGGCTAAATTAGACCACACTAGAAAAATGGGTCTGTTTGAGGGGGCGATCCTCTGAATCGAGCGGCCAGGCATTTTCAGCTTCTTCGGCCATGTGCCCTGCTTGTCCTGGTTGCTCTCATCGCCCCTCATCCGGCAGATCCACATGCCTCTCGGATTCTGAGATGAGAGCCCGTGGCAAGGGGGTCCTCTACAGGTCCAGCTAGGTGCCCTTTTACCGTTTCTTTTTTGGGGGAGGGTTCCCCTACTAAAATAGCCTACAGAAAAAGGGTAACCTCCCTATTGGAGGAGCTAGACAAGCTCCGCGGTAGCACCAAAATCATGTATCCCAGGTCATGGATATATATATGATATACAGAATATACTCGTCAGCATTTGACCAATTTTGGCCAAGGTGGGTCAGCATTGCATGCACGAAGTGTTTGGCTACGGGCCCCCACGCTTTTCGTCAGGTCTTTTGGCTGAGAGGCGGCACTTTCGGTCGAATTCTGGTTAAGAAGCCAATCGAAATCCGAGGTGCACAGGGGTCCTTCCCAGACAATCCATACAAGTAATATATTATCCACATTCACGCTCCAAAGTGTGTATAGATATATATATATATATTTAGATACACACATTTATCCTACATGGATTGCCTGGGTCTTGTTGGTCGCCCATTCTGAGTGAGTGAGTGTCCCAGTGCAATGAACTTTGCAGGTAACGAATAGAAGAGGGTGCCGATGATCGGGCGATCCGATTTAAAGCTGGCTGGGGTCCACTGGGTTTGACCATGTCTCATGGCCATTTTGGACCCCAAAGGCGGGCTGATTTTCCAGAAAGCCAGAAGTATCGACTAATTGACCCATGAACTGGGGGGTCATAACCAAGGGTTCATTGATGGATGTATACATTCAGCGTTTGAAGATCTGAGGCTCGTTTTAGGACTCCGCAGATCGACTCTTTGCACATCCGAGTCGGAGAACATTCGTTCGGCCACGTTGTTGGTAACCCCACTTCTAAGTCCACCTAAGTGGGCTAACCTTGTTATTAGGCGGGGGGTACTATCCCAAGTGGCTATTCCTGTACTTGCTTGGCCGGACATCCCAGGATGCACCCTGCTTTCCCGGGCAGCCTTAAAGGGCGCCCGGAAAACCTCTGGCCGCAGGAGTTCCGCGGAACTCCCGCAGCCTGCCACAGAAAACGGACTTCGTCAGCTTTCCCGCCTTTTTTGGGGGGGTTCCCCTACCACCTCTCTACTGGTTAAGTTTAAACTGTTTGGTTGCCGGGTTTCTTCATTCGGAGCCAAAGCCTGCTGTTGGTTTACCCGAGAACCACAAGGGTCTGGACTTGCGGTTTTGGAGCTGGCACCCAGGTTCTTGATGTATCACGAGTGTCTGGAGAAGCCGCCGGTGTATCTTTACCTCACGGACGGGGGCTTTGTTCCGGAGTCGCAAGGGAAAGAACACCTACTGTAGCTGGACGAAATCCATTTCACACCACCTAAGAAACCCCGGCATGATGAATCCCCTGTAAATACCAACAAACAATGGTTTCCCATGGTTTCCAAGTGGTGCGAAATGGATTTCGTCCACAGTATGATCACCTACAAGTTGCCCCCGATTCCCCAGCCGAAAGGGAGGCCCTGCCCCAAGGCCCTGTGTCAGGTCCTGGCCTCACTATGAGTGTTTGGGACTCTCCGGAGAGCTTCCTGGAACGGGCTCTTGGATCCTTTCATGTTGTCCACATGGCTGTGGCTCAGAAAATGGCCGTGGGTTCAACACCAATGGGATCCCATCTTGGGGTAGGTGCACCACCCATTTTAGTCGATTTTAGTGGGGATTGGGATGTTCACTGGGGGTACGATTTGGGTTTTGACCCATAGCCAAATGGTACCCGAAGTGGCACCCTGCTAAATGGAAGTACAGACCAACATCTGCGTAACCGCTGATTATTTTTTTTGGAGCCACACTCAAATGTCTGAGAGCTCGCCTCAAATTGACCGAACCGCAAGGGTCGTATTGGGTCAAGTTTGCCCGAGTCTTTGAAGCAAGAGCGTCCTATTCCCCGCTGCAAACGCCGGTTCGTATGTATCCTTTCTGAAATTTCTGAAGCTGGACATATATGAGGGGCGGTGAAACACGAAGCAGAAGCGGCTCCCCAAGTCTTCTAACTCAACACGATGCCAAGTAATATGCGTATTCGTGCAGAATGGGCAAGTTTCTATTTATTGCAGTGGATCCTGGTGTGTGCTTAGGAGCGGTCGGATTCTCACATTCAAAAGGGTCCATGAGCGTTTGGCTAGGATGTGCAACTGGCGACTGCATGCTCCGCTTCTATTTGCAAGCAACACAGACATTGCTGCGAGTCATGTTGGGCGCAACAAATTGCTTTTCCGAGCCTTACACTGAAGGGCACAAACCTTCCTGTTCCTAAAGGGCCCATTTGTCGAACCTTGTACGCTTGAAAAAGGCGTCATTGGATCAACCCTCGTTATCTTCAATCCAAGGCGCTCAAAGAGCTAGAGGCCAAGCGCAGGAATCGCAAGGCGATTAATGCACTTCTGCAAAACCGACCTCCACAAACCCGCACACACACACAAGCAGTAAATCAAACCGCGCAAACCCAGCACTTTGGACGCGTGGCTTCAGAAAGCATTCAATCAACCACAAATGGACACGATTCAATTCAGCTGCTTGTCTGGCTTTACAGCTTTGTATCTTTGCTTGCTGGTGCTCAGGGAATGAGAAATGGAATGACCCCTGTATATCATGCAAGTGGTGGTTTCCGTCATTCGGGAATCCCCTTCCGGTTCATTCCATTTGTCATTCCCTACCTATCGCACCAGCAAGTACATTGACGTCGCCCTGACGCGAGAATGACCTCACTTCCACGAAAATAATAATGTTAGTCATTTTCTGGCTTGGGTTGTTTTGGTTTGGTTTTGCTTTGGGTCAACTTTTTGGGTTTGTGTTGGTTTTGTCGCAATTGGGCACCCGTTCTTAGCGGTTCTCTGGCCGTTCTTGCTGGGCCCGCGAGGACGGAGGCCCTGTGGAGGACTTAGGACGGAGCTTCGTGAGTCGTGCTCCGATATGGCCATGGTTCAAAACCAATGGGATCCCATTTTGGGATAGGTGCACCACCCATTTAAGTCTATATTAGTGGGGATTGGGATGTTCACTGGGGGTACGATTTGGGTTTTGACACATAGCCATATGGCTGCAAATTTTAATGGGGAGTGGTTGGTGGACAGAACTCCTCATGGCTAAATGATGTCCACCCACTAAAAATTGTCTTCCCCAAAAAGGGTTCCCTTTTTTCCAGGGTCACTGAACAACTGAGCAAACAATCCGACTGTAGGGAAAAGATGCCATCCCTTTCCACCTCCAGTCTTCTCCATAATTAACTTGTTGTATATATATATATATACATATATATAATTATATATATATGCCAGCATTTGACCCGTTTGGAGGGTAAATGCGAGTAAATATTTCGCATGTATGGATTGTTTTGGGATTGGTTTGGTGGGGACTGGGGATTTCAACGATTTGAGCCGGTTCTTGGGATACATGGAATAAAACTCCCCGGAACACCAAACCACCGGAGCAAACCAATTGGGGGCAAGCCGATCATAGTTTTTGGGAGGACCATTTTACTGGCAAACAAAGGCTGGTTTGGTCAAGCCACTGCGGAAGTGAGACGTACTTGGGGAAAATCTATGGATGCTGAAGAAGCGGAACCTTCAAGCGGGTCGCCCTGAGTTGCTTTGAACCCGGTTCTTGACTGACCCAATGCAGCGTTCTCCTTCTTTGCGTTCACTTTCATGTATTCTATGTCTAGGGAATACTGTCCTACTCTTACCTTGGATTTGTGTCCAATTGTTGTGTTTTTGTTCGTTCTGATCATTTTAGTATAGCGCCTCGCACTGCCCGCCTCAGCCAGGGGCTATTTGATTTAGAGCTGTTTTTTGATCGCCGTACTTACTCCAGGGCCAGGCGTGGGGAAGAATCGCTCAACCATGTGGGAAAGTACCAGCTGCGCGAAAGCATCCACTTGGCACTAAAGGAGATCCACGGCCGCAGTCCAAGGGCAAGGGGGCTCGGGACTTTACTTGGGCTTGTTTGCGTTGGTTTGTTGGCTGGCTGGCTCATTGGCCCCTTGGTCGGTTGGTCGGTCGGTCGGTTGGTTGGTTGGTTGGTTGGTTGGTTGGTGGACTGCTTGGTTGGCTGGCTGGCTGGCTGCCTGGCTGGCTGGCTGGCTGGCTGGTTAGTTGTTTTTGTGGTTTCTTTGCGTTGTTTTGTTTGCGTTGGCTGGCTTTCTGGCTGGCTGGTTGGTTGCTTGGTTGGTTAGTTGGCTGGCCGGCTTGTTCACGACATGTGGGTGTGCCGCCGGGTGGGAGAGAAGGACTCCCCAGTTGTCGGAGGCGGTGCGCGGGCGGTTCTTCTGGAAGCCACAGGCCCGGGGCTACCTCGAAACAAGGAAGAGCCAGTTCTTTTAAGCCATGACAGAGACGAACCTTTGCTTTTCTTTCAAAAAGCTCATGCAAATAGCAAGGCGTCAAAAACAGAACAATCGATTGGCAAAGATCGGCTTTGACGCCTTCGGCACTAGGGTGTTTCAAAATAACCCCACGGTCAACTTGCACCCACCAAAGAGTCAAACAGGGAGCTGGCTTTACCCTGACACAGGTTGGACGGGCGGGGCTTGAACAGTCCTGCCGCGGTCCGTGCGGCTCCAGGCGGCTTGACCGCTTGCACAAATACTTGGCTGGGAGGATTGCAGGCCACCCGGTCAAGAAGTTTGTGCGGGCCGCCCTTCCTCATGGCTTTTTGCGTCGCCATGCTCAGCACCTTTGCTGTGAATTGAGGAAGTGGCGGAACCGGAAGACGGGGAACAGAGGCCGAAAAAGGCGCCCAGGAGCAGCCCAGCGCGCCAAAGCGCGGGCTCGGCGGCTTCGGAAGGCAGGTTGGCTGGCTGGCTACTTGTCTTTTTGTTACTTGGCTGCTTGGCTTTTTGGTTGGTTGGCCAGTTGGCCGGCCGGCCGGCCGGCCCGTCAGTCAGTCTTGGCTTGTTTGCGGTGGCTGGCTGGTTCATTGGTTCGTCGGCCGATCGGTCGGTCAGCTGCTTGTTTTTTGGTTAGTTGCTTGCTTGCCTGTTTGAATGCTTGGTTTGCTAGTTGGTTGCTTGCTTGCTTGCTTCGTTGGTTTTGGTTGGCTCGTTGGCTGGTTTGTTCTGTATTTGGCTTGCTGCAAGAAACAGATGCTGTGAGCGCCCAATAGCTCCAGCTTCCCGCAGATCCTCTACAGTCCTCAGACGCCAGACTTCGCTTTTGAAGATGCTCGTTTTCTGCACTTGTTCCTGCCAATTTTCAACACCCCATTGAGGGCTGTAGCAGAGCAGGACCCAAGTTTGGGGCCTCGTTCAGCCCCGGAAAAACGGACGGGATGAGTCACAACAGCAACTCGGGGTTTTGTTGAGCAACGCCCAGCAATCTTACGTGAGCCGCAGCTCTGGAGCGAGCAGTCAGGTCGTCAGGTCTCAATGGCAGTTCTTCCCACGTACTGATGAGCATCTTCTCGTTCGCCTTTGGCCACAACCTCGGCAATCCAGATGCGTGCTTGGTTGCGCAACCTGCCCTCAATAGCTGGAGCTGTCAGACACGAGCTGACACAGGACCATGCGGCTTCTGCAAGACTGAGGCGCAAGATCCAGCCTTTAGCGTGCTGAGCTTCTTCGCCGGAAGGAATTTTGCTTGTGCGTTCTTGCGCCCACGCAGCTGGGGCAGGCAGCGTGACTGTGGACACGTTTGTGGATGGCAAGTACGAGACCACGAACTTTGCCAAGTTTGGCGACTTTATTGTTGCTGGGGCGCATGGCGCTCGGTACCTTAAAACCTAGCTGCCACCAACATCGCCAGTACCATCATTCTTGCTAGCAGTATCATGGTTGTTATAGTTATAGCACTATTGTTAGTTATAGCACTATAGTTAGTTTACCACAGCCATTCTTCTCAAGGCCTCTATTGTTATGATTCTACATCGTTGCATTCATTAGCGCTGTCAGTGTCGTTATCATGCTTGTCAACATTTCAGGTCTCACTGTCGCCATGAGTCGTTTTTTCGAGGCCCAAGACCCCCCTCCCCCCCCCCCCCCCGTAATTAACTCACCTGTAGCACTTGGAACGCTCATATTCCGGCTACTAGTCATCCACCCGGCACTCCCATGTTGCACGTTGAGGCTTGCGAAGGACTTTTTGAAATCCTATTCAAGACTGTAGCCTGCAAACGCAAGCCGGTTGTGAACTAAGCTGCGTGCGATAAGCTGCTGGCTGCAAACTTCTCCAATCTTGTCATATCTTGTGTAGGCGGGAGGACGCACAAGCATCGCCCGTGTTTGTGCACGTTTCAATCAAGCGCGCCTCCGCTTCCTTAGGCACGCCTCGTCAACAACCCTTTCCTGACCTACCATTCCGATAGCGAGTCCAGAAGTCATCGCGCAGCGCATGCTCGGGTGTGTGTGTGTGTGTGTGCGTCTGTGTTTGTGTCTGTGTCTGTGTCTGTGTCTGTGTCTGTGTGTGTCTGTCTGTGTGTGTGTGTCTGTGTCTGTGTCTGTGTCTGTGTCTGTGTCTGTGTGTGTCTCTGCCTGTGTGTCTGTGTGTGTGTCTGTGTGTGTCTCTGCCTGTGTGTCTGTGTGTGTGTGTCTTTGTGTGTGTGTGTGCGTCTGTGTCTGTGTCTATGTCTGTGTCTGTGTGTGTGAGAGAGTGTGATTGTGTGATTGCGTGATTCTGTGTTGCGAGTGCACGCACACAGGCCTGATGACTTTGTGTTTTGCGAAACTGCAAAAACTGGGGCTCGACAGCTTTGGCCCAAGGAAGGGCAAGGGGCGTGCCGGCGAGCTGGGTGAAGCACCAAGAACTAGGGCGGACAGCTTCGACCGTCCAAAGCCTGAGGCTCCCGCCCGTGGCCAGTCAGAGTCCTGCCGCTCCCGCCAGCGGCCGGGGTGGTCAATGAATCTCATGGGCTCAAGGCCTGCAAATGAGTTTGCAGCTGCCGGGGCTGCGAATGTGGGAGTGTTATCTGTTTTCCTATAGTGCTACGACCCCGTTTCATGAGATTATTATCTACTGCGACCACTGCCAAGGTTCACGGCCATCTTGGTAGAACCAAGAGCGAATAGGTGCGCAACAGTCTTGGAACTAAGAAACCAAAACAAGGGCCCCAGCACACCCTCAGTGAACGCCACCAAAACACAACGCCCTTCGTTTTTTAAGAGTAGCATCCTTGTCGGGAAAGGACCTTCTTTTCAGGTTCCTTCCGTCAACCTGCAGAGGAGTACGCCACGTAGACGAAATATGCCCGAAATATGAAACACGATGTGGGCTATGTTTAGTCAGTTTAGTCTTATGGGTTTTCCCTGGTTTAAGCACCAAGTGCCGGGTTTGCGATTCAGTTTCCAGGACTGGTGCAGCTGCTGCGGCGAAGGCAACGCTGGATCCTGTCCTTCGATGTGGCCCGGAAGAAAGTCGAGGCGATGCACGCAGGAGGGTCCATCGCCATGAGTGGCAAATCATGGGGTGAAACGGGGGCCTATCGCCATTGCCAATCTTCAGCTTTACCAAAACTGGTTGTTTGATTGGTGGTTTGGAGGTTAGGGATGGTTTCTCATATACCCTCTACAAGAACCGGCGGTTAAAACGCCAAGCCAAAAATCAACGCCACCAATGAATTGCGACCTGAATTTTGGCCTCCCAAGGGGTGAAGCGAGAGTTCACCCATGGCGGAAGACGAGACTTCCACGGATTCGGATAATGAAACGAGCGAGAACTCATGAAGCATTTCTGGGACTCCACCTGACCACTCATCCACCCCCCCTAGGCCATTTAAGTTGGGTGGTTGGTTCCTCGCCATTTTCCTAGTAGTTGCCGCGAGGGCTCCAAATGTATATGTGTTTGTATGTGTGTATGTATGTACACATGCACATTGATAACTATAGGAGCAAACATCAGCTCGAATTTCGGGGGTTGCACTCATGTTAGTCAGAGACGGTGTGTGGCAAGGCGTGACGTGGGCTTATAATTTGGAGAGGTCCGGTTGCTCTTTGATACGACCAATAATTGCCTGCTTATTGTGTGGAACAGGGCAAATCTGTCCCCACCAACAAGCAAAGAACACCCTTATGTTTAACGGTTTATGACAAGCACAAGAGTTGCAATCATACGTTTGCCGTCCCGTTGAGCCTGCAAACGTTGTTTCCGACATGGGGGCTTTCCCAATTGTGCCAAAGGATTCTGCTGAGTGACCAACTCGGGTTCGTTCTTTGCTGCTGCAGGGGCTTGCTGCACGAGGTTTGATTTTATCACTCAGATGCCAGACAGTCGGAATGTCCATCCTGCGGTATTGCAGGTTGCTTCACGGGCAGCTGGTCTGTTACTTCCTTCTAGATTACCATGGAACCCGACAGAAATTCCATTGTTTTCTACAAAAACTCCTTTTTGGGGGAACCTTTTTCTGGCTTCCATGTCAACCTGCAGGGGGGTAATGGCCTCCTGTCATGAGAGATATTCAAAGCCCAACGAACATTATGAGGCCGCAAAAATCGCATGCTCGGTTTGGGTGGCGGCCCCAACGCATACAGTGCCATTTCCCCTGCTGGTACGTCGGCGTGTCACATGTCAACCCTTGAGTGACATTTCATGGGCTCCTGTTTTTTGGCTTGAGGCTTTTTGAGGTTGGTTCAAAGAGAAACCAAACAAGAACTTCAAGCTCAGACCGGCCACCCGCCATTTCAGCGGGTTTCCACCCGAAATCGACACGAGCCCCGTGTATGGCACCGAGGTGGGCGACGATCCCAACATGGAGCTCCTGGACCTGCACACGGCGATCGCTTTGGCGCGGAAGGAAACGGCAGGGATTCGGAGGGCGCCTAGCGCCCTGACATCCTTGGCCTTGTGGGTTTTGTCAGGGTGGGAACCCCTTGTCCGAAAAGGGGGACATGGAGTCACAGGCTGTACTTTGCCCACGTATAGACTGTACTGCTATTGGGCAACGGATCTTTAGAGTTCTAGACTTTTTGGTTGAAATCTAGTTGTGTTGTCCACTAACCCCCCCAAAAAGTTATTCACTTTTTGCAGGGGAGTCAACAGCAACCAAGTTTTACAGAGACAACCCATGCAGGTAATAAATGTGTAGAAACACATAGACAGATGGAGACATGTAGATGTATGTTACCAGCATTTCACCGTTTGAATTGTAAATGTGAGTAAGTAGCTCTACTGCCTGCTTTTATACTGATAGTCGAAATCCACCAGCACAGGGTTTCATGTAGGATTTCATCCATCCCAATTGGTACGAAATGGATTCTGTCCATCCACAGCAGGGGTTGCAAGGCCGACGGAAACTTTGTGATCATTTTGCCAGACCCAGTTGATGGGTTTTGGATCCGGAGCTAAAACGAGCTCACCGTGACATAGGTCATTTGCTTGTTGTACTCAAATTCCCAGTTTCAGAACTTCTACTTTTTGGGAACACCATTTTACTAGCTAACAACAGTTTGAATGTTCTTGGCCAATCCACTCAGGAAGTGAGTTCAAAACCGACATCTTTTGCCGACAGCTGCCTTTTGAAAGAACAACACCACCTTTTACCTATATATATATACATAAACATATAACTCACCAATCTTTCACCCACAGTCGCCACCTTCAAACCCCAACCACCTGCCTTAAAACACGCCTCGCCAGGCCATGGCATTTGGCTTACTTCCATGTGCATCAGTGTTTCTTTTTTTTGCCCAGTTGGTTTTAAAGGGAGTCTATCACTATTGGACATAGACATCACTATTTATCCATATCTCGGAGTCTATCACTCTTGCCTTAGGGAATATGGAAATCCATCACTCTTGGACATATATTTTATCCTTTTCCAGGGGGCGTATCCGCACATGGAAGCTGCCGAATGGGGCAGGAGAAGATCTGCAGCTTCTACCTGGCCTCGGACCCGCGACGGGACTTGGAGGATGTCTTGGAGGAGCCCAGATAGCCAAGTTGCGATCGCGTTTTTCAGTCACCGGTTTTTGGGGTAAAGTGCATGGAGTTTCAGTCACTGTTGCTGGTTTTTGGTAAAGTTGCTGCTTTTTTCAGTGACCGTTGCGATCGGTTTTTGGGGTAAAGTGCATGGAATTCCAGTCACTGTTGCTGGTTTTTGGTAAAGTTGCTGCTTTTTCAGTCACTGTTGCTGGTTTTTCAGTCACTGTTGCTGGTTTTTGGGGTAAGGTGTTTTTTTCAATCACTGCTGCGTTCGGTTTTTGGGTAAAGTGCATGGAATTTCAGTCACTGTTGCTGGTTTTTGGTGAAGTTGCTGTTTTTTTCAGTGTTGCTGCTTTTTTCAGTCACTGTTGCTGTTTTTTTGAGTCACTGTTGCTGGTTTCTTCAGTCACTGTTGCTGGTTTTTGGGGTAAACAGCTTCTTTCAGTCACACTGTTGCTGGTTTTTGGAAAAGTTGCTGTTTTTTCAGTCACTGTTGCTGCTTTTTTCAGTCACTGTTGCTGTGTTGTTTGGGTAAAGTGCTTTTTTCAGTCACTGTTGCTGGTTGTTTCAGTGACTGTTGCTGGTTTTTGGTAAAGTTGCGATCGCTTTTCTCAGTCACTGTTGCTGCTTTTTTCAGTCAGCGTTGCTGGTTTTTGGTAAAGTTGCTGCATTTTTCAGTTACTGTTGCTGGTTTTTTGAGTCACTGTTGCTGGTTTTTGGGGTAATGTGCTTTTTGTCAGTCACTGTTGCTGCTTTTTTCAGTCACTGTTGCTGGTTTTTGGGGTAAAGTGTTTTTTTTCAGTCACTGTTGCTGTGTTGTTTGGGTAAAGTGCTTTTCTCAGTCACTGTTGCTGGTTTTGGCAAAGTGCATGAAGAAAAAGGACAGCAACTAGCGATCCAGGAGTATAGCAAGAACTTGGAGCCCTTCCTGCACCTGGGCCCGGGCACCGAGTCGGGACCGAGCACCGAGTCGATTCTCGCAGCGCTTCGGTTCGTGGGACTCCCAGGTGCCCTTTTCTCACCGTGGTTTTTTGGTTAGGAGGGGAACCCCCTACTGAAATAGACAGAGAAAAGGTTGGCGCCCTTACACCGGAGCACCTACCGAGTCGATTCTCGCGCCGATTCGGTGCGTGGGAAGCCATAAAGCGATTTGGCCGGGGTTGGTCTGACTCATGGGACTGAGACTCTGTGTGGTTTTAGGTTGGGTCTCTGTCGCTTTTGCGGTGGTACCCCTTGTTTTGGGGTGGGGGTCTGAATTGGACAAAAGGAAGAACCATCATTGTCGGAGGGTCCGCTTTCGGGTCGTGGCTTGGAATACACAAGCAACGCCCGGGTTGTTGTGACCAAACTACTGCTTCCATGTTTTCCCTTCTTTGTTTTAAGGCACAGTGGACAAAATTGATTTGAAGGGCGACCAGACCCTTGCCAACCAAACGGTGTTTGATACAGCGACAGGTGTCCTCTACCCGCAGATGTCCGATGGCATTCGGGACTGAGTCGGGGAGTTCTTGCGCATTGCTCGGGAGTAGTACAAGTTGGGAACCAGGTCTGTTTTTTTTTTTGGGGGGGGTCCGTTTTTTTGCTGGTTGTAAACAGGTTGTGGGATCAAGCGGTTTATCCCCACTTCTGTGATACAAGGGAATCTCCCCCTTTATATGGGGGTTAGTCTTTGGGAAGCCCTTTTTGTTGTATCACAGCAGTGGTTGTTTCCCACAGCCCTGGTTGTAAAGGGCAACCAAAAGGAACACCCACGAATTGTGGGGCCCCTTAAAACAGATACACAGTTATGTTTCAAGAGCCAACACTCTACGAGACGGTGTCAAAAGGGTCAAATGGAAACCAGCCCTTTTGAGGGGCCATAGGGAATAGCTTTGACAGCTTGTAACACGTGTGTGAGGCCCTCTGTGAGGCCCGTGAATATCATGATTAAATGTAAAAAGGCAATTAGAAACTGGTTGCACGGAAAATCCCTCATGCAACAAACACACATATTTTCTTAAACCGCCCTTCCCCTGATTGCCGGTTTAGATTGGTGGCTTCTGCATTTGCACCCCTGGCTTTTGTAGATGGGAAGCCATCCGCTATCTAACCACCAATCCAACACAAGTTAGAGAGAAGCTGACGTGGACATGTTTCAAAGGGAAGTGCATGGCAAACCACTTCCGAGATTGACCAATCTATTTTGGATCCACACCCACAAAACATGTATGGAATCAAGGGGTTTGCTGCCAGCCAAGGTGGGTCCCCAAATGAGATAATGTACGGAGGGGAAGCCCCACGTCTTTTTATCAGTTGGGGAGGATATCGAGGTGGAAAAAGGGTAGGCTTGTACCGTACAGAGGGGCCCAATGGAAAGCAGCTACCAGCTTTAACGGAGGTTCCCTATCCCAAGAAGCAGCCAAATAGGTTATCACACACTGGAACCGCTTTTGGGCAACCCCTTTTGTCTTTTTCACCAGCACGTGTTTCCTTGTTTGGCAACTTCTGTTGGGCACCTGGGCAAACCTTTAGCGAAGACGGTGAGATAGTCACAGGTCAGGCGAGGCATTAGGACGCCCAGAAAAGTTCGAGCTTCGAAGACTTTGGTAACCACTGAACCAAGTTTCTGATGTGTTTTCCCTCGATGGGGGGTTTTCCTTAGCGATTCCAGTCACCTGCATATAAAGGAGCAAGCGTGATTCCCTTCACCTGCACAGGGTTCCCAGGAACCAGCCTTTAGGAACATTCTTGGTTGCCTATACTACTATAGGGGTACCTGGGATCCACGGACAAAAGTAGCACCGTTTTTACCAGAAAAGTCTCTCACGGAACAGAACCTTTGACCTCAGAACCTGACTCGCGGTCCGGCTTCGTCTGATGAATGGGTTCATTCCCAATCCGAGTGTATGCGACATATTTACACATTCGCCAAGTCCACATGGGTCAGTTAGGTTGGTAGAAATATGTCCATATTCTCCGCATGGTCAGTCATAGGTTGGTAGACATGTTAGTAAGCACAATTACCTGCAGTCGGATTGTCTGGGATTTGATGCCTCAATGGGCATCCCTGAAATATGAGGCAAACATGAACCCGCTGGCGCACCTGTGGTTCTCAGTTGCGATCTGCCAATTTCGTTGGGGCATCTTCGCTGTGGTTGGCATGTTTCTTTAGTTTTAGGTGTGTTGGTTCTGTTCATTTTCAGTGGGGCTGCAAGAAACAATGTGTTTTGCTACCATACCAGGGGTTGGTCAGGTATTCTAGGTCCAATCATCATTTCCGGGCAAGTTGGGGCGGGGTCACTAAACTACTTCTCCAAGTCTTGGAACGGACATGTGTGTAGAGTCCTACCCATTGAACGGGCCACCCAAGTACTGGACTATACATACATACATATATATACATATATATATATACACATTATAGGGCCTACCACATATAATGGGGCGGGGTGCTTTAACGCCACGTTAAGTCATCATAAGACAATGACGCGCTGTGTCATTATTTGGCCCAAGGGTTGCAAGAAATCCACGACACGCACCGGTTGGGATGGTCTTGCATATTGTCGTTGCTCATGCCCGAAAACCATCATGCATCGGCCTTTCCCGGGCCCTTTGGTGGGCGGTAGGGTGACCCAACTGTTCAGTTGGTAGGTGGTTCTGCCGGGTTGAGGTCGCTGATCATAGCCATGAAGATGACTTCCATGGGAATCTTCGATGATTTGAATGGGCAACGATGCCGGCCCCATGAAATTTCACACCCAACTCAGTTGATGGCCGGAACGCAGAAACCATGTAGGTGATATAATGCATATACATATTATATATATATATATAGCTACATGTATATGCATGAAGAATCATACCAACATTTGACCCATTTGGAGGGAACATGTGAGTATAGTTTGTATGGAAATGAACCTGGGCTCGGCAAATTTGTGATTCATAGAGGAGTTCCCCCTTTTGCGAAATGGACCCGACCCCTTTGGGCAGCCCATGGAAAAAATGCGTAGGGGTGTAATGAGTGTCAGTGGGTAAAAGGGGGGGTAAAAACAGCAGTTGCATCCATATGGAGTCCTCGAGTTTCGAAGTGTTCCAACTAAGAGCGGAAGGTTAGGGACTAGCGGAAAAGGGGCGCTCTCCTGTTGGCTCACTTCCTGAGTTCATAAACTTTAGACTTTTTGGGAAGACCATTTTAGTGGTAAATGTAAAGTTTGGACTTTTTTGGGCCATCCACTCAGCAAGTGAGACTAAGAGCGGAAAAGAGGCGCTCTCCTGTTTCGTTAAAGGCCAAATGTGCCTCAGGAGATCGGCGAGATCTTCCACGTGCGGATGCGACTCTTGGAGCCTTCCGTGCCAGTGCAGCCGCTGGTGCAGAGGGAGGCGGGTGGAATGGCACCGGTTTCCAACCTGAGTTGGTGGTTTGCATTGACTGGGGATTTGGACCCCTTCTTGTTGAAGGATGGAAGGTAGCAACCAAACCACCAAACCAAGCATTTCCAGAAACATTTCCAGGAAGGAGTTGAAAACAGGCTGAAAAATGGTTGGAAGAGGGTGTGGCCTGGGGTCCTTGCACATTTGTCGCCCCTTTGGGCGGGTTTGATCTTTGACCGTGTAGTATATGCCCGCTCACCCATTTGGAGCGCAAATGTGTGTGTAGCTATTGCATACATGGAGTGGGTTCGGGACCAATTCAGTTCAAATGGAGCCTCCAAGCTTAGTGGCGTGGTTCTTTAACGGGCACATGCCAAGGACCCGAAACACACCACAACACCAGAAGGTCCACACGGGGCTTAACCAGAAACTATTTTGCTTTCGCGGGTTTGTGGGCTGCATGAGAGAGTGTTCAGCACACTTGCCGAATGACTGTTCCATCTAAGCCGGGTTACTTGGTTTTTGGTGCACTTGGTGACCCATAGTCAAACGACCTGTTTTGGCTACTGTACTGAGAGTGGGTTTAGAAAGCCACAAGTAGGATCTTCAAGCGCGGGAGCCATGACCGTGGCACAGCTATGCCTCGAAGACAAATGTACTTCATTGTACACTGCTACATGACTGAATGCGCAGCGACTCTACACATGCTGCCTCTTTGTGCTCCCCTGAACAGTATGAAGAACAAGCACAACAAGCTGAGCCCTCAAAGTGAGCATGTTTTGTTTGGTCAATTTTACTTGCGCGTGGCTTGCCTTTCGACCTTTGTCTAGAGGGTCATGCTAGACTATGTTTGTGGGAACGGGGCCGAGGCCTATTTTCCATCGCAAGGGAACCCCCTTCAAACAAAGTAGTCATTGGGATCTGGGTGAGTTATAACCACCTCACACGACCGAATTCACCCCAAATAGTGTTTTTTGTGGGGAACGGCCCCCCAACCACCTTATTTCAGACTGGTGAAGTATTGCAATTCAGCCAGATTGGGATGGGAGTCCCACTGCAACATCACAGAAATCCTCGTTTCCTAGAACCTTGGAATGGACCAAGTCAATTCAGTGAAAGGTGTGTGACATGTATTGGGGCCTTTGGGGGACAGAATTTAGGTGGACAGTTTTGTCCACCAATCAAAGACTGAATTTGTAGATCCACATATGAGCCCATACCCATTTTGGACCCTCTGGGGGCTTATTGTGTACATATGAACCCCTACCCACTTTGGACCCTTTGGGAGCTTCACGCATACACGCAGCCTTTGAACCAACCGCTGTTGAGGTTTGTTGCCCATGGCCAAAGGATAAAGCTTCACTGCCAGGAGGTTCTGGGGGAGCGCGGCATCTTCTCGCTGAGTCGAGTGGCACCCTGGCCACAGTGCCGGTTTTGCTTCCCTTTTGGGAGACTAGGTCTCCCAGTAGTGCCCTTTTTAACCGATTCCTTTTTTGGTTGGAAGGGTTCCCCTGCTCAAATAGACTACAGAAAAAGTTGGTACCCTTCTAACCTCTCTGCTGGAGGACCTAGGAGAGGACTTCCCTTTACTTGCTGGTGCTCAGGAAGGGAATGCCCCTATAAACCATCCTGCAAGGGAATACCCTTCCACATTCCCAAAACCGTCAAGGTCATTCCCTATCGCACCGGCCAGTTTCTTAGCGGTAAACCCTGGTTGCATGTTTGCCCCCTTTGTTTTAATGGTGGCAACTGCACCCCAGGGCCCCGGTTTGGAATCGCAAACAATCCATGCATGCGAACTATATACACACAAGACTTGCCCTCCAAATAGGTCGGTTATGTTGGTATATTTTACCTTCAGTCGGATTGTTTCGGCTTCAACATCAACCAGCAAAATGAGTGCCCCTTTTGTTCCTGGGGAAATCCACTGGTCCAAAGATGCAGAGTCTACTGATTGAAACAAGCATCAACTCCTTTGCCACTTCGTGAGTTTAACTTATTTAACACTTTTTGGGAAAAGTTCATTTTAGTGGTAAACAAAACAAACGTTTGGCCTCTTCTTTGGCCAGTCCTCTCAGGAAGTGAGACGACTTTGGGTAGCCCGCAGATCTGGGCAGCTTCTGTTTGATCCTCTCCGCTTTGAGGGGCCTTGTCAGCTCATCCCACCTTGCCTGTTGAACCACCTGCCACCCTAAAATTCCCCAGACATGCACAAAGTAAACCAAATTCCTTTTTGGGCAGGGCGTTTTTCAGGGAAGTCGAAAAGCTGCGCTAAGGCTTAGAAAGGCTCTTTTTGCCTGGCTATGAAACCCCGTAGTTCCGGTGAACATCCCAATCCAACCACTAAAATAGGTTCTAAAATGGGTGGTGAATTCACCGAAAACCCCACAATGGGATCCCATTGGTGTTGACCCACGGCCACCTGGGTCTGGGTAGATTGTTGTTTTGAGGGGAAGTCGAACAGCTGTACTAAGGCTCAGAGAGGCACACGTTCTTCCCCTGCTTGGTAGAGTCGGGGGGATTGGTTTTTCTCCCTGAGGCGCCCGTGGTGGATGTGGAGATGCCCGCACGGGAGCACATGAGAGCGACTTGGCACAGAGGCCTGCCGCACTGACGTGGGTGCCTGAAGGCTTCTTTGGGTGGACAGGATCTTTTTTTGGTTCTTCTTTTTTTTTCCAATTCATTTCTTTACCTATTTATTTTTCTGGCTATGAAGCTTGGGAAGCAACAGAGCCCTACTTGCTTCATGGCAGGTGGACAGGAATGTTTTCGGGCAACTGGGTGAGTAGAATGTTTTTGAAGGGCACCCAGTATCCGGCTTTTGCAGGGGATATCACAGGAAAGCACTCATTTTGGAGGACATCCATCGTCAAATTACCTCTTTACTGTGGTTGTCGGAAGGGTAATCACCCTGGTAAGGATCTTAGGGCAACCACGAGAAGGCTTGAAAGTGGTTGTAACCATGGTACATATGTTTCCAACATAGAAATCCGAGGGCCCGCAGCTCATGCAACGAGGTAAGGATGTGCCAGTGGTTTTCATAGCAGAGATGTTCTTCGCCTCAGCAGTCTTATGGCAGGCCTCCAAAACCCTCCCGTGAACTGGAATGAGTGGAAAGAGGGTGAACAGCTTGCTGGAACATAGATCGATTTCTCTGGGGTATCTTCGTTCAACAGTTGCCCTATCTATGTTTCCAAAAGGGCACACGCGAAGCTCCCTCTTTCATGAGCGCTTTGGGAACCAAATCTGTTCAAGACCGTGGATGTTCAACTGCAGAAGGTTGGACCTACGGTGATTCTAAGTGAAGTCTTCGCCCTGCTTCCCCACTTACTTATCCATGCAAAACCAAGCGTAGCCCGAGCCGGTTGATCAACGTGTCCCAAAATATTGAGCGATTTCCTTCGGCTCCCCTTTTAACAGCAACCGAGAAAGGGTACCTGAAGCCTTAAGTAAAAACTTCGCCTCACGCCGAAGTCAGTCAAGCTCAGGAATACTCCCTCTCCTCAGAGACCTCGAACTCTGACAGCCCGCGGCAGAAGCCGCGCTCAGAGCTGGGAGGTGAGGTAGATGGATGAAACACTTGGAGCCACAGATGGGCCCTTTGGTATGGCTGTGGGTCCAAAAATAGGGTAACCCCAAACTGGAACTCTGGTAAATGGAAACATGGACTGAAATCTGCGGTCCCCTGGTGGTTTAGTTTTGACCCTTACCCGTGTCTAGCCCCCAAGGTTCTCAGCATTCGATTCGGGACTGTCCTTTTGCTTCCTGTGGGCTTTGATACGCCCAGAGCATTGCTGCTTCCTTGCCACCCGAGTGAGTCTGCCAGCCTCAGTTAACAGTTTTCAGTCATTAGACATCAGTATTGTGTTGGTGCCTTGGACTTGTCCTCAGACATGATCTGAGCAACAATGTTGACCCTTGAATACACCCATTCTTATAGACGGGTTGTTTCCTGCAAAAGTCATGAGTCCTCACTAAAAGCGGACACCCTATTCATCAACCAGGGGTTCATCAATCTGGGGTTGACATTCCTGTATACTTGTTGTGTTTTCCTATTGCTTGGTGATTCTCCTACGTGATGTTGAGGTCTCCGGGCTTCAGCATATGGCTGGCGTCGGCTCTTAGCCGAGACTCTGAATTGCTTTGAGTTGAAATGCGGCTTTGTTGGCGCTACCAGGGCTTCAATCACAAGAAGGGTTGTGGGACACCTTAAACCAAACCGAGTCACGATCAGGGTATACTGTTTGTGTATGTGTTTAGGCTCTTGCAGTACTGAGCTGGGTATGATGTTTTAATCGGGAACGCGAAAGTGTGGACATCAACGTGGGGGCTATGTCCAACAATCTTTCACGCTGTTTTCCATTGAAACTCATTTTGTCTTTTTTGGGGGCTGTTCAACGAGGGGAAGTCAAGAAGAAGCCACGTGTGTGTCTGTGTGTGTGTGTTTTTTGGGGGGCCTCATGTAGTTTGAGAGCAATCCATGGAGGCTCATCTAGTTTGGGGGGTCTTTCTTTTGGATGGAAACGCCTAGGGGAAAGCCGAGCATTTTCATCCCCAGATTTGAGCCGCGGTGAAGACGTCGCCAGGCATTTGCTGCGAGTGCTGCCACGAGTGGTCGAAGGGAGCACTTTGTGGCAGCTTTCCCAACACGCACACGGCGAACCAGTTCTTTACACCGAAGGCACGGATTTGGCGATTCGCGATTCGCCTCGTCGAGACCTCCTCTTGGATTTTTAAGTCCGGTCAAAGTGTGCAGTCTATTCTCCATTTGGGAGGGACATGAAACTCACCAAGTTTGCAGCACCATGAAAACCAGGAGACTCACAAAAAGAATGCATTTGACCCATTTACTTTGGAGGGTGTCTGATTGCGTAAGAACTTTCGCGAAACCGTCGGATTCTTTGGCTTGGATAGGTTCGTGCGGTTGCGATTCTTTCCGCGGATCAGGTCTGGGCCAACTTCTGCCGCTTGGGCCGGGAGTTGTCGTCCCCCGCCATCGCCGCGCTGACCAACGCCCAGATGGCGGAGATCAACGCGCGTCGGGCGCGCATGACCCCGTGAGACGGCGAAAGCCACTGGGCAGATCCCCACTACAAACCCAAAAAAGTGAAAACTTCCCCACTTCCAGGGATCCATCGTTTCCGACGCCAAGGGACCGATGGCTGAAAACCATGGGAAACCCTTTAGAATGAGTACCACTCATTGAGCCCCTGTCCCAATAAAAACTTGAATTATAACTTACGCAGACAACCACACAAATGATAGGCCAGACAAGGCGCTGGCTCGCGAGGTTCCTTGCGGCTAAATTTCACTGCACGAGTGTGACACAGGGGTCCGTACATGTCCCTTGAATGTTTAATGCTGTGTGCAAAGTATTGCAAAGTATGTTTTTTGTGGATGATGTTTACAGGGGACTTGTCAGGAACCCGACTTATCCGCGAAAGTCTCCGGCTAGGCAAAATTTATGCTTCAGCCAAGCTCCGTCAAGACAGCGATCACACGTCAGCGTCATTTCGGGGTTTGGTCGCCGCTCACGACATTGGCAAAAGACCAGGTTGGACAGGCGCGATCGCACGCGTGCTGCAGAAAGGTGCCCGGCATGCAGTGGCAGTCAGATGAAGTCCACAAGCATAGGTGTCCTTCTTGGTTGCTTCGGCAGAAAACAGATGGCCCTGGTTGACCTGGTTGCTTCATAATCTACCAGGGCCATCTACTCTCCCGAAACAAACACCTATGATAACCTTTGTTCACAAGCTCTACCAAACATCATTCGACCTTGCAACTCGCGCGATTTTGGAAGAGTGATGGTTTTGCTCGGGTTTCTTCGATTCGGGAAGCTGGTTTAGAGGACCCGTATGACGACTTCGAGTAAAGGTGCTTCAGCTTGCACCCATCAGGACAATCCAAAAGGACGCCATTTGGGTACGTCGTTTTAAGGGGACCCCAACGTGGTGGTTTTCCTGTTGGTTTTCCTTTAAAACTGAGCAAACGGCGGTTCCCTCCCAAAAAAGCAGAGACATGTGTGATCGAAGCCATCCAAGAGGTCGCCCAATCCTAGTTCCATTTTAGCTTTTTCGTAGGTTGCCAAGGGAACCGCCCTTTAAAAACCCAATGGACACTAGCTGCCTGTACTGGCAACTGGGATTTGATGCTCAGGGCCACTCCTCAGGTGCACGCAGGACCAGCCAAGTTCGAGTTCGGAGACGACGAGTTCGTCGATTGGGTGGATGGCCAGGCAGGAATTCGTGAGCAAAAGGTCCATGGCAACTTTCCAGCTTGGTCATTTCTGAAGGTCGGTTTGAAAGGAGCAGAAAACGACACATGGCATGTTGAGGGGTTCCTCTGTCCATTCCGAAGGTTCATGGCAGAATGGCACTAACGTGTGGCTCACAGCGCTACCAGGTTGAATAGATCTTTGTGTCCCAAGTGGCTTTCCCAGGAAGCCATGCAACACGGCAGGAATTATGTTTGTTTCAGGCACGGAAAGGCTTTTTCTTGTTTCTACTCAATCACAGACAATCCGACTGTAGGCAATATTTACCAACAGAACTGACCCCAATTGAAGGGTAGATGTGAATAAATATTGCATACATGGATTGTGTGGGAATGTTTTGACGAACTTGTCCTTGGGAAAGCCCCGTAACCCCTGAACTTTTGTGTTTTTTCCGCCTCTTTTGGTTGGTTCAATGCGCTGCGCGTGTTTTTTGAGCAAACCTTCCGTCAACCCCCATCGAGGTTGGCTTTTCGAGTGGACCCGCACTTTCCGGACACACTTGGCCCAGTGATGAGCCGAGTGCCTACGGCTGTTCCGAAAATGACATGTATACTATATATATATATATACACCCTTCGACCAATTAACATGGAACCTGACAGGGGGGTCCCTTTAGGAAAATGGTCTTCCAGGACACCCCTGTCAGGTTCCATGTTCATTGGTGGGAGGGTAGAGGACCCAACACGGGAGAGCATTGGCAGTCTACCCCTGGGGTCTTCGGAGCAAGCCCGTGACCGCAAGGCTTGCACTGCTCGAAGCTCTACCTGCATGTCATCTTCCATTTGCTGAAATGAATATTTATTATTACTCCTTGTTGGTGTTGAAAGGAATTTATCACTACTGGCAATATTCTTTTTCCAGGGGTCTTAAGCAAATGGAAGTCATGGAAGTAGCAATGGTCACAAGTCCCCAAAGTTTTGGTGGCTGCCTTGTTTTTCTTTTGGGGCATCCACTTTTTTGCCAGGGAAAGGCAACGGTCGATTCCTCCAGTCTAAGATGGCTACCATGACCCAGGGTAAATGGGGGGTATATAGCCTGTACGTAGTGGCAATACAGTGGCTGTACATCCCTTTGACCCCCCTGGTGAATGGTAGCGAACCATCTTAGCTCCAAAAGGCAGTTCCCGAATCGTGTCGATGGAGCCGCAGGCCATGCTGTACCGGATCAAGTTTGGAGAGGAGGGCTGCTCGTACCAGAACAGGCCGGTCCTTCTGCGCCGTTTGTTGCTTCCATTTGCTTGAATGGACAAAATCTTGCACCACCGTTCAGAAACCCTGGAATGATGAGTCGCCTGTAAGCACCAACAAACAATGGTTCCAATTCTTTCAAAGTGGTGCAGGATTTCGTCCATTCACAGTATGCTTGATTTGTCCCCTGGTGAAGAAGGTTTTATTTTCTCCTGCACTGTTTGGTTTTGAGGGGATCTATTCGCTACTGGAGGTGTTTTTTTCCAGGGGACGTTGATATTTTTGAAGGGTGCTTGCGCAAAGCACAAGCTGATTTAGAGGGTTTCAACTTGTAGCTCAGTTGGGCTTTTGGATTCTTTGAAGGGACGTGAAAGTGAAAGCTCGCTTTTCGTGTGCCATGAATGATGGACCCAACAACACATCGCGGACCCCAAACTACCCCTCACGCTATTGAGGTGGCTCGTCTTGTTTTGAGGGTGGCCTCCTTGGAGTTGTAAAGTGAAACCCCCAGGAAGCAATTCAATCTCCGGGGGCCTGGTCAACCCCTTTCTCATTGATCTAGTCCATCGTAAGGTGTCCTATGGGAACCATGACCATGACTTACCCAACCTGTGTCAAAGGCACAATACAAACTGATTCCAAGAAGGCATGTTTCACTCAACATGATTAGGGTGACCACCTGGGCCAATTCTGATCTTGCCTTTCATGGTGAAAGCTTACACAACCCATGCAGGAAATAAAGACCACCATTTGACCTGTTTGGAGGTCAATGGAAGGGGAAGTATTACCTTCATGGATGGTGTAGGAAGGGTAGCCCAAATCCGGTCGACATTCTGGGCTGACCAGGTGGCTGGACACCTGGAACCACCGCATGCACCGCGAGGCCTAGCTCGTAGCTCTGGTTGCTTTCTGATTCGCCTGTTCGGATGGCTGGCTTACCTAAGGCTCAACAAGGGCTACCCTCCAAAAAGACAAGGGCTCTGAATTTTGAAGTTGGCGCCCGAAGTTGTTTTTTTGTTTACTTATTCTTCTTTTTTTAACGTTTTCTTGCAAACAAGAAGGGGGTACCCTTGAACAAAACACGTGTTGTTGGACTTGGTACTCGTACCGATCTCGTGGAGTTGCTTGCAGGCCAAGAGGAAGCCACGTTCTGTGATCTCCGTCGGAGGAATGTGTGGGGTTGAACTGGCATAGGGCCCTGCTGTTATGCATGGGGCGCTTGAGCTTCTTCCCGTTCCTGGTACTCCCGTTCCTGGTACCACCTTTTTGTGGTGTCGAAACGAACGCCACCTATACTAGGTCCCCCAGTAGTGCCCTTTTACCTGTTCTTGGGAGAGGGTTCCCCTACTAAAATAGACTGCAGAAAAACGGGTACCCTTATTCTACCCTCTCTACTGGAGGACCTTTCTTGTTTTGGTTTTGTTCTTTTTTGCTGGTGGGAGGGGTGACCCAAGAGCTCTTACTCTTGGGTCCGATTCCACCTGTTTTGTGTCGGAAAGGGGTTGAATAGGTGGCTTCGTGTTTACACATTTGAGTCATGGGACTTTTCAGGGGCGGTTGGTTTGCTGGTTGGTTGGCTCGTCGGTTTGGTCGGTCGGTCGGTTCGTTGGTTGGTTGGTTTGGCGAATCGCCTGGTGGGATCCACGAAAGGGATCTTTCGTGCACATACCCCAGGTCCCAAACAATCCGGGTTAAACGCTGGTAGTATACATATATATATATATATATATGGTACCCCCCCATGGACCCATATATATACATATACATAAACATATATTATCTACTGGATTGTCTGGGGTGAATTACCCCTTCACCTGTAGCTTGTGATTGCACTTCACCCACTTGGAGGGTACAGGTGTGTAATTGTTTGCATACATGGATTGTTTGGGCATGTTTGATTATACTCCACATACGTCACGGGTCAAAGTGACCCCGCTGATTTTCGTTCTTCTTTCCATTTACCAGGGTTCCCAAATTGGGGCTTGCCCTATTTTCGCACACCCCTATTTGGGGAAATCAGTCCTCCTGTTCATTCACTAGGGTTCCATTTTGGGGCTTGCCCCGTTTTCCCACACCCCAAATTGGGGGAATTCGAAGTGAAGACATCGCCCATGAAGCGAAGCCAGCCATGTTCGGGGTGATGCCCGGGGTGATGCCCGCATGAAAATCTCAGCCGCGAGGCCGGCCGCATTGCGGTGCGCGAGACCTGCTCCAGGCAAGGGAAAAAAGTCAGACGTCGAATCCGGATGCCCGCCTCATGAGAAAGGATCCGGCGGGGAAAAAAACATATATATATATATGCATATATATATATATATGAAAAAAAGCGGAAAAAAGAAGAAACAAAAAACGATGGCAGGCAGTCGTTGCTTTTGCTGCCTTCAGATGTTGTTCTTATTGTTTTGGCCATCTACAAAATCTCTTGGGGCAACTGGACCGATGCAGCCGGCCAGGTGGTCTGTTTGAAACTTGAAGGGGCTTTCTGGGGCCAGTGGGTTGCTTCAAGCCGTTCCGACAAGATCAGATCACGACGAAGATTTGGATTCTTAGGTGTCCGTTTTTGGTTGGCTTGGATCGAAACAGATGGCACAGGTTGAGATAGTTGTTGTTGTTTTTCCATTTAACAGGGCCATCTATTTCACCAAAAAGGACACCTATGCTTGGATTGGCCTCCTTTGTGCCTTTGGAGCACCCCCCATTCACTCAGAGCGCTTTTTTGGTTTGCGGGTTGTTGAGGCAGGTGAAGCAATCAAATGACAAGCTGCGCGACCGCGCCACGCGTGTAAGCAGCACCCGAACCCCCGGTGGCTGTTTTTTGTGTAGGTGGGTCTACAGAGGCACGGGACCACCCAGAAGCCACAGAAGAAGGTGGCTCTACTACCTGGTTTCCTTGGGGTTGCCTACATAAACCTTTATATCTATCTAATCTTTACGGCTATGTGCTAACGGATCTTTCGACTTTAAACCTTTTGGCTGAAACAGGACGGAGTTTCCGAATTGGACCCACAACAAGTTAAGAACTTTTTGCAGAAGCGTTGCAGCAATCAAGCAAGTGGAACCAGCAGTCAATGAGGTTTGGGCTTGCGACTGCATGTTGACGGCTCGAGTCCTCAGGCCATCGCTGGGGTCTTTCTGGGAGCGGTTCATGTATCTCTTCAGCCCGCCCAACAACGAGAACGGCAACCTGCACATCTCCCAGGCGCGCCTGAAGCCAGGGCTATGTGACTTCACCAAATAG